TATACCAATTGAAGGTTTTTCTTCAAACTTGGCTCAAATGTTCACCACAACAAGAGGATGTGCAGAACCCATGTTGCCCATGTGTCAGCTCAAGGTCAAAGTCACAATTGAAGGTCAAATATCAAACACAATCAAATATTAGACAGTATGTCGTGTCCGCTCTGTAAGTCCTACAATAATTGAAGGATTTTCTTCAAACTTGGCTCAAATGTTCACCTCAACAAGGGGATGTGCAGAACCCATGTTGCCTATGTGTCAGCTCAAGGTCAAGGTCACAATTGAAGGTCAAATATCAAACAATCAAATATTAGACAGTATGTCCTGTCCGCTCTGTAACTCCTACACTTATTGAAAGATTTACTTCAAACTTGTCTCAAATGTTCACCTCATCAAGGGGATGTGCAGAACCTATGTTGCCCATGTGTCAGCTCAAGGTCAAGGTCACAATTGAAGGTCAAATACCAATAATCAAATATTACACAATATGTTGTGTCCGCTCTGTAATTCCTACACTAATTGAAGGATTTTCTTCAAACTTGGCTCAAATGTTCACCTCAACAAGGGGATGTGCAGAACCCATGTTGCCCATGTGTCACCTCAAGGTCAAGGTCACAATTGAAGGTCAAATATCAAACAAACAAATATTAGACAGTATGTCGTGTCCGCTCTGTAAGTCCTACACTAATTGAAAGATTTTCTTCAATCTTGGCTCAAATGTTCACCTCAACAAGGGAATGTGCAGAACCCATGTCACCCTTTTGCCGGCTTAAGGTCAAGGTCACACTTGAAGGTCAAAAATTGACTTAGTAAATTTTCTTAAATTTAAACATTTATATGAATATTTCTGAATCTAGAAAAGGTGTTTGCTTGAAACATAAAATATATATGAAAGGTCACAATTAAGGTATGCTGGTCAAGTTTCATAACTCTGTATTGCATTTTAACAAAGTTATGCCCCTTTTTTGAGTCTTCAAATTTACATACAATCAAATATTAGGCAATATGTTGTTTCTGCTCTATAAATCCTACACTAAACGAATGAATTTTCTTCAAACTTTACTCAAATGTTCACCTCAACAAAGTTATGTGCAGAATCCATGTCACCTTTGTGCAGGCTAAAGGTCAAAGTCACACTTGAAGGTCAAAAATTGACTTAGAAAATGTTCTTTAATTTTAACATGTACTCGAATATTTCTGAAACTAGCACAGGAACTTGCTTGAAACTTAAAGGATATATGAGGTGTCACAATTACGATTTGCAGGTCAAGTTTCATAACTCTGTATTGCATTTTGACAAAGTTATGCCCCTTTTTAAGTCTTTAAATTTACATACAATTAATACTTGACAATATGTTGTGTCCAATTTATAAATTTTTTTACTAATGGAAGGATTTTCTTCAAACTTTACTTAAATGTTCACCTCAACTGGGCGATGTGCAGAATCCATCTTACCCTTGTGTCAGCTGAAACTCAAGGCCACACTTTAAGGTCAAAAATTGACTTATAAAAAGTTTAATATTGGGAAAATGAAAGGTTATTAGTAACTGTTTCGAACATGATTTGATAATAAATAATTATTCTTTTACTTGTACTATAAGTCTTTTTTTTCACCAGAGACAATTTCTTTTTATGTATTTGTGCCACTTAAGTTATTCCCTTTACCACCTTTCCAAGTCATCTTCTGTCAAGGACATTGGTGGGGGTATGAATCGCATTCAGCGATAGTTCTAGTTGATTTTCCTTTTAGGTATATAGAAAATACTTTAAAAAAATCTTCTTGTGACAATCCAAAAGCACTATAGATTAAATATTTGGCATGAAACATCTTCTAGTGGATGCCTACCAAGTTTGTTCAAATTAATGCCCTAGGGTCAAAATATGCCCAGCCCCAGGGGTCATTGATTTTCCATATATGTGAATAGTAAAAACTAAAAAAAAATCTTGTTGTGAAAATACAAAAGAGCTAGAGCTTAGATATTTGGCATGAAATGTCTTCTAGTGGATGTCTACCAAGTTTGTTCAAATAAAAGCCCTAGGATCAAAATTGGCCCGCCCATAGGGGTCATTGATTTTTCTTATATCTAGATAATTTTTTTATATATATTTATATAGTAAAAACTATATTAGATATTTGGCATAAACATTTTCTAGTGGATGTCTACCAAGTTTGTTGAAATGAAAGCCCTAGGGTCAAAATTGGCCCGGCCCCAGGGGTTATTGATTTAAATATTATTTTTCCGTATAATTATGTATGTAGGAAAAACTTTAAAAAATCGTCTTGTGAAAATCAAATCAAAAAGAGGTAGAGCTAAGATATTTGCCATGAAACATGTTCTAGTGTATGTCTACCATGTTTGTTGAAATAAAACCCCTAGGGTCAAAATTGGCCCCGCCTAAGGGAAACAAGGTCTACCATGTTTGTTTAAATAAAACCCCTAGGGTCAAAAAATGAGGTCGACAGTTCAATCCCCCAGCCAGGTCTTATGTTTGTTTTCCTTCTCTTTCTCTGTCATCTTTTTATTAGCTCACCTATCACTTAGAGACAGGCTGAACTGTTAGATAAAATGGCTGCCAGAGCTAAAATTACAAAACAACAACATCTTAACAACATCTAAACCACTGGTTCAATTTTGAAATAATTTTAAGGGGTCCACTTTGAACTTTTGACTTATTTCTCAGGTGAGCAATTTAGGGCCCTCTAGGCCCTCTTATTATATTTATGCTGCTTTCTTGTCAAAATTTTTGCTTCAGTTGAATGATTTGAAAACTATCATTGGCGTCCGCGCCGAAGCGCGGCGCCCTTATGGAATGAAATCAGATTTTGTGAAAGGGCGACAGCAACTTCTCGAGCCTTTTATTCGGTCATAATAAAAGCCGATTGAGAATGAAATCTCGCGATATGTCACAATGAATAGCGAACTGGAGAATTTCGCAATGCAAACATTTTCAAATAAAATAACTTTTTTCGTCAATAAAATCGCGCTCTTCGGGGTTATTCATTTATCATTTTGTAGTACACAGTTGGTTATCATGGTATGCTATTGTTGTACATGTATCCTAGAATGATCAGTTGATGACCTAAATATTCCGAAAATCTATTTATAGATATATCTATTTATCACTCCTATCGGTAGTTACCGGTCTCTCCCGGTCTATTTTGACCGGGATTTACTAGTGACCGGCGAATAGTACCACACGTTTATTGTCCGGTCTCTCCCGGTTTTGGAGTAGATGTTTGATATCGTTACAAATAAAAAAAACAACAATAGCATGTTTCATTTTATCAATATGAGATAAAAACAATAAATATGTACAATAATTGAGAAAAAGGTACATTTTTATGGTATTAATATGACATTATCAACTTTGAAACATTTTATTTAATTTGTTATATCCGTGTTTAGTAAAGATGCCGAGGAATTATTCAAAGTTACAAATTAGATTTTATGAATTATTCAATTGATTGATAATTTAAAAAATGATAAAGAAAAATACAAATGTACATGTACATGGTTTAAGAATAAACAATATTATATATTGAAAGATAAACCATAATTTACTGACTTTTTCCATTATAATCGTCGGTCAATATGACAATTGAATTCTTAAAATTTATTTTACAATTTTAATAAAAAAAAAGAGTAGTAAAAACTTAGTATTAAAATAGCACATAAAACACAAAAAAGAAAAGAAAACAATATTCATAAAATTTGTATTTTTTTTTATTAAAATTCATAGATATTACAATTATTGTATAATAAACAATTATGCTCAACATGATCAACATGGTAATATAACCAGTGTCATATTTTTACTAAGTGTGAACAGATATTTTAGAGGGGGTCTTCGCTAATAGCGATAACATAATAAGGGACAATTACAAAGGTGCGGTACGTGTTGATCATGCGTTACACATATGGATTATAAATGATTGTATACATGTATATCCGTTGCTATTAATAACCACGATCATAAAGAAATAACAAGTAATATTATAATCTCCAGCGTGCCAATCAAAGTTCATAATTAACCGCTCATTCATAAGTGATATACATCTCTGGTAGTTTATAAGAATATCATGTCATCATATGTCTACTAGTTCATCTTCACTTGCTGCATTTCTTGCTTGGACGCCCTTTGATGCTTTGCATCAATGCTTTTCTTGTAGGTATTGACATGAAACTTGGAAAACAAGATGATAAAATGCAGTTGTAAGAGAAGGGGCATAATCCTGAATGCAATATATTTGGAATTATGCCCCTTTTAATGCAGATTTATTTGTAAATGTACACTGACATAAAGATTGTACTCATTCCTGGCATACATTCAAATTAGGACAAGGCACATCTGTAGGATAAGGGACATAACTTTTTTGCTTTTTCACATAGAAAAAAAATCATCTTTTTTATATTTAATACCAGTAACTTGAGCATTTCGTCTAGTTTGTAAAATGGACTCTTTTTTTTAATATAACAATGAACTCTCAGGGCTTTAAACAATATTAAACCTTAAAAGTTATATATTTTAAATGCCCTTGTCCATCTTTCAATCTTGACAAAACCATTAATCTTCTTTTTTTTAATGAGGGAAATTTAAAAGTAGAGTACTGAGTAAATAGCAGACATCAGACAGCACAAATTGGCCTGCACTGGACTTATAGGTAGAATCGGTTACTACCAGCAGGCTAACATTAAACCGCCAATAGTATTTAATCAGATCAGATTGAAAGTTATGATATCAAATGAAACACAACTGAATATTGTTTTAAAATAATGCTAGAAGTTAATTCTAAGGCACTCTAAAAGAGTTTTGTACCAATACATTGTTATCGGACATGTTTTAGTTCTGGCGTTTATTGTTTTTTTTCCATTGTGCATAACTTTTCAACTGTTGCTAAAAACTTAGTGGCCTTATATTATAAAAGATTTCTGTTTCATGCAAAAATATTTGCTTTATTAATAAACAATTGTTTTGCTTAGTTTACATTTCATATTCTTCAGTTGCGGAATATTGAAGGGCGTGAAAAGAACCTTGAAAATGTACACAGTAGCACAATACAGGATTATGAAGGAGAGAAGAGAGGTGTAAAATATACTAGATTTTCTTAGTTATACAATCCTCTGACAGAACAAGTTATTGTTCAACTTCCACCTTTAACCTGCTGAATTTGTGTAATTGATTTGCCCTGCTTTGAATTTTGAGCAATTAATTTGAAATTTAAGAGATTTCAATATCATAATACAAGGAGTACTGGTAATAGACTGTATGGATGTGTAACTGGCCTGACACTATACTGGTGACGAAGGCTTATCAGTTTTGGCTTTACTTTTTATACACCCATTTGAAAAACAGGTCTTATTATAGTTTCCCCACTGGTGGGCGGGCAGGCAGGCGGCTGGGCGGGCGGCATCCAATATTTGTCTGGAGCATATCTCCTTCACCCACAGAGGAATTTTAATGAAACTTTATAGAAATGTTCACCACTATGAGAAGCCGTGTTGCGCGCATGAACAAGGCCTCTAGGTCAAAGGTCAAGGTCACACTTAGAGGCCATTGAAAAACGCTTGTCCAGAGCAAAACTTCTACATGCATAGAGGGATTTCAGTATAACTTGGCACAAATGTTCACTGTTGTGAGGCGGAGTGTCGCCTGCAAAATTCATGTCCTTGTGGCCTAGGTCAAGGTCACACATAGGGGTCAAAGTTCAGATAAAAATATGAAAATGTGTATTGGGACCATTTAGTCATCATTTATTGAGGGATTGAAACACAAAGGGTTATTATTATGACTACTGGTGTGAAACATGAAATTAAGAATAACATATGCAAGGTCAAGGTCACTAAAGATGATTGCCAAGGTCACTAAAGATGGTAAAATATAGAGATTTTGTACAGAACATATCTCCTACACATATGAAAGGATTCTAATGAAACTTTTCATAGAAATGTTCACCACTGTGAAAAGCCGTGTCACATGCATGAACCTGGCCTCTAGGTCCAAGGTCAAGGTCACACTTGGAGGTCATAGAAAAATGCTTGTCCAGAGCAAAATTTCTACATGCATAGAGGGAATTCAATATAACTTAGCACAAATGTTCACTATTGTGAGGCAAAGTGTCGCACGCAAAATTTTATGTCCCTGCAGCAAAGGTCAAGGTCACACATAGGGGTCTTTCTCATGACTACTGGTGTGAAACATGTAATTTAGGTTAACATATGCAAGGTCAAGGCCACTAAAGATGAATATGAAGATCACTAAAGATGATAAAATATAGAGATTTTGTGCAGAGCATATCTCCTACACATCTGGAGAGATTGTAATGAAACTTCAAACAAATGCTTAACACTTTGAGAAGCTGTGTCCCATGCATGAACCAGGTCTCTAGGTCAAAGATCAAGGTCACACTTTTAGGTCATTGAAAAATGCTTGTCCAGAGCATAGAGGGATTTCAATATAACTTGGCACAAATGTTCACTATTGTGAGGCGAAGTGTCGCGCACAAAATTTAGGTCCCTGCGGCTAAGGTCAAGGTCACATATAGGGGTCAAAGTTCAGATAAAAAAATCTCTAGAGATGATAATATATCCAGATATTTTCCAGATATTGCCCAGAGCATATCTCCTATATGCAGCACAGTGTTTTTTTTCTTTATATAACTGCTACCCTAAAACGGTACTGTTCCCAATAGAAAATAGACATTAAAATTCCCAATTTCCAATGTTTAAATTCCCAAAATGGCTGTTCAAAATTTCCACGAGGCCAAGTGATTTCTCTGAAAGCATCTAAATCCAACATATTCATATAAATCATCACTGGATAGTTCTACCTGGACAGTGGAAGCTGTTAGCTATCTTTATTCATGATGACTAATCTTATTTGTAGCTGAAAAAATGCATAAAAAAAGTTCCCAATTTAAGTAAAAATAACGCATTTTTTCCCAATCAGTCTGGTACCGGCACCATTACCAAAGTAGAGAAAAAAAACGCTGATGCATATCTATTATAAATGCCCACATCTCTCTCTAAAGCTTCTGTGATGGGCGTATATTGCGACAATATTGCCCTTGTTACTTTGTTGTACATTACAAAACCAATTGACCATTTTATGTTATCAAAGAAGTTTTATCATTAAACTAATCTACAATAGTTTAAAACTGGGTCACATACTTTGCAATATTTATGAAAGTGACAAAGGAGTCTACCCCTGTTTTTGCAAGGAAAGTTAAAGTTATAATAACCAGGTTTCCAAGAAAAGTACAGTGATTGAAATTAGCAGGTGCTTAAAATTGCAAGACATTGTACATATTCAAAGTACATATTCAATTGTAAAGGCTTGCAAGAGGGATACACTTGGTTTATTATTATCATTATTTAAGCATGCAGTAACTTTAATGCAATTATCATAAAGTATATGTATTTCGGAAATATTACAGAAATGTCACAGAAGATTCACAAACTGACAGTTGACCTTGAGAAGTCTAGGTCAGAGAAAGCTGATGAGATGGCATTAAGAGTACAGATGGAGAGTAAAGTCAGGGTATTGTTACTTATATTAGAAATTTTTAATAAAGCTCATTGATGAAAATGTATGAAAATGTTATAAAATGTAAAAGAAGAGCAGGCTATAAAAATTATTGCAGGTCTGATTGTTGGCAATGGTGTTTATAATTCTTATAGCTTTTTCAAAACTCATTTTTATAATTTTGGCCTTGGAGAAGGTGCCATTGAATTTAAACTAGATGTCCCTATTTGAAGTAATGAAGAATCTTTTTTAGTATAACTTGCATGTTGTTGTCATATGAGAAGCACACTTTTCCTTAGAAATGTTCTGTACCCTTTGACACTGAATAACAAATATATATTGAACTTACCTAATTGCTCATCCAATATGGTTACTTGTCCAAATATATCTCCTCACTATTAAATTTGATTATGTTATATGTGTCCATGTGTTTTATAAACATTATATTTTTCAAGGTAATGGAAAGAGAGGTAGAACAGAAGATTGGAAAATTTGAAGAGTTAGTCAAAGAGGTAATTTTAGTGTTTCTTTTTGTAAATATGTCTGGTCTCTTTGATAGGTAAAGAGCAAATTGTGACACCCTAGTTTTAATCAGATGCTTGTTTGTGCATTATTTCAACCACAATCTCCTCAGTAATACAAATTACCATCCATAAGCTAGTATGATAGCTTCAATTTTAAAATTCCTAGTGAGAAGCTTGATTTTAAGTAACTGATATCTAACTGTTCTAAATGCTCCCTTTAATTTAAACTTTGCTCAGAACTATTATCTTTAAAGGTTTTTTCATTTATTTCAGTAGCTCAACAAAAATGTCTTTCTCTGGTGAACACATAAAATGTTCAGTTTTAAGCCGAAAAAAGAGGGATTGCTACAGCCATGTTGACATTGCTGTTGCCATCCAAAGACTTTTAACATTGGTCATATCTGGTCTTCCTGTATGGTTTCATATGATGGGTACCAGTGGTTGTCCTGTATTGTGTTATACATGAAGGGGTACCCTTGATCTTCCTGTATTGTTATACTTGAAGGGGCACCCTTGATAGTCCTGTATTGTTATACATCAAGGGGCACCCTTGATTGTCCTGTATTGTTATACATTAAGGGGCACCCTTGATTGTCCTGTATTGTTATACATGAATGGGCACCCTTGATCTTCATGTATTGTTATACATCAAGGGGCACCCTTGATTGTCCTGTATTGTTATACATGTAGGGGCACTCTTGATTGTCCTGTATTGTTATACATGAAAGGGCACCCTTGAACGTCCTGTATTGTTATGTTTAGTCCTGATTAGTTATGTAGTATGCATATAGAGTAAAAATCTTTTCCGCACTACTTCTCTGCAACTACTGGCTGGAATTCAACGAAACTTTATGGGAATCATCAATACCAAGAGGAGATGGGCATATCGTCGGCTTGTTCCGGTCAGACTTTTTAACTCAGAGTTATGGCCCTTGATTAGTTATGCAGTATGCATATGGAGTAAAAATCGTTTCCCTGCTACTTCTCTGCAACTACTGGCTGGAATTCAATGAAACTTTATGGGAACCTTCAATACCAAGAGGAGATGCGCATATTGTCGGCTTGTTCGGGTCAGACACTTTAACTCAGAGTTATGGCCCTTGATTAGTTATGCAATATGCATATGGAGTAAAAATCGTTTCCGGAGTAGTTCTCTGCAACTACTGGCTGGAATTCAACGAAACTTTATGGGAATCATCAATATCAAGAGGAGATGCGCATATCGTCGGCTTGTTCTGGCCAGACCCTTTAACTCAAGAGTTATGGCCCTTGATTAGTTATGTAGTATCCATATAGAGTAAAAATCGTTTCAGCACTACTTCTCTGCAACTACTGGCTGGAATTCAACGAAACTTTATGGGAACCTTCAATACCAAGAGGAGATGCGCATATCGTCGGCTTGTTCCGGTCAGACAGTTTAACTCAGAGTTATGGCCCTTGATTAGTTATGCAGTATCCATATAGAAAAATATTTGTTTCCTCGCTACTTCTCTGCTACTACTGGCTGAAATTCAATGAAACTTTATGGGATACTAAGAGGAGATGTGCATATAGTCGCCTTGTTCCAGTCAGATACTTATAACTCAGATTTATGGCCCTTGATTAGTTATGTAGTATGCATACATCTCATTGGCATTTCCAGATTTTACTATTTAACACAAAGTTATGGCTTTGTTATTGCCCTGAATATTTATCAAGTTCAAAGAATATTACTGTTTATGCCATGATTAATATATAAATAAAGCCTTATGTCTTCAGTTGTTGTGTTAATAATAACCAGTACTCGGCGGGGCGGGGGATATAAATTCAACGAATTTGCTTGTTTTACATGAAGGGGCACCCTTGATTGTCCTGTATTGTTATACATGTAGGGGCACTCTTGATTGTCCTGATTTGTTATACATGAATGGGCACCTTTGATTGTCCTGTTTTGTTTTACATGAAGGGGCACCCTTGATTGTCCTGTATTGTTATACATGAAGGGGCACCCTTGATTGTCCTGTATTGTTATACATGAAAGGGCACCCTTGAACGTCCTGTATTGTTATACATGTAGGGGCACTCTTGATTGTCCTGTATTGTTATACATGAATGGGCACCTTTGATTGTCCTGTATTGTTTAACATTAAGGGGCACCCTTGATTGTCCTGTATTGTTATACATGAAGGGGCACCCTTGATTGTCCTGTATTGTTATACATGAAGGGGCACCCCTGGTCTTTCTGTATTGCTATACATGAAGGGACACCCTTGATTGTCCTGTATTGTTATTCATGAAGGGACACCCCTGGTCTTTCTGTATTGCTATACATGAAGGGACACCCTTGATTGTCCTGTATTGTTATTCATGAAGGGACACCCCTGGTCTTTCTGTATTGCTATACATGAAGGGACACCCCTGGTTGTCCTGTATTGTTATTCATGAAGGGACACCCCTGGTATTCCTGTATTGTTATACAGGAAGGGGCACCCTTAGTTGTCCTGTATTGTTAAACATGAATGGGCACTCTTGATCTTTGTGTATTGTTATACATGAATGGGCACCTTTGGTCTTTCTAGATTGCTTGTTGGGAACCTTGGTCTTTATGCAATGTTTGGGGTTTGAGTATGACATTTAACCGTTTGTTGAGTTTCTTATGCAGTGAAACAAACAAAATTAAATGAATGATGATCCTCCATGATGACAATGTTTAACCTGATAAACTACATGAGGGTATAACATTTACTACACTGTACTTACTCATAAAACAATCTCATTAGTTTAAGTCTGAGGGGATGATCACTATTCATTTTCAATCTATTACACACATATTTCATCATTTTTATCTTATTCATAGGATGCGGGATGCACTTATAGGTAAACAACAATATTTTTAACACTAATATGTTTATTGTGATTAAAATCTTTCTTGTAAATAACAGTTTAATTTACTGCATTCAAATATCTTTGTTGAAAGCTTGAGGAAGCAAGAGGACTATTGCGCAGGTTTGAATCCCAGGCCCGGCAACAACAGCAGGACCTGGAGTACAAGAACCATGAGTTGGAAACAGTTAGAAAGGAGCTGGCAGAGCTTTGGTCAACACACAATCAGCTGACAGAACATTCTGGTCAACAAGCTGATCTGATCAGACAGATACAGTCTCTACAGACTGACACTCAAAAAAGTAGAAATATAATTATATACTTACTTACTATACAGATTTTGTTAATTTAAAATATCTCTAGGTTAAAACACTAATGTTAAACTACTTAAAGTATAATTACCAGTATGTAAGATAAGAGATGAACTTGTGCATGCAGATTTTCTTTGCCTTATACAATCAAAGTGGCATCAACAGTGCTGGTATAAGATACTTTTATTTCCCTTTGAGTGTTGATTTTATGAAGACAAGAGAATTCTTATTTCAAATTATTGAATACCAGTAAAATGAAGGAAGTTCAATTTGTATGTTAATCACATTTTTCTATAAAAATATTTTTGAGTAAAACAGTGACATTTCTTTAAGTAGGGTATAAGTTAAATATTTTTATATGTAAAATGTTTTTATGATAGCTTGTTTTAAAATTATAACAAATCTGATCTTCCATGCATTGGAGACACATTTTCAAAGTGTAAAAGCTGTCTACTTGCAAGGCAAATGCAAAGATTATTCTGTTAATATATTCATTGGAATACTTTCAAGAAATCAGTTTTAAAATACTGCTTCATTTCTGCTAGTGTGAATATTTGTTCCATAAATAATAACAGAATGGAAGTCTTATTCAAATATGCCACAAAAAACCAAAATCCCACCAAAATTTTATGGGAGTCTAAAAACTTATGAGAATTGTTCATTTTAAATAAAATTTCCATTCAAAGAAATGTTTGATTATACAAATTTTGGAAAATATCATGCAAAATATTTTTGGTCCATACACATCAAAGCCTTTCAGCATTTTATTTGTGGACTCATTTTTACTTCTTTATAATTTTACAATTATTGTTACAAGGAAAGAAGTTTTCACACTATTTATGAATATTCTATCGGACAGGTAAGCTTGACTTTTAAGAAAAAACATTTTTAGTTACTACGTTGTTAAAGTTGCTGTTCCCTTTGCTGTCTGAAATCACAAACATTGATTATAATTTATTTTTTATTTCTAAATAGATTTCCTTCATTGTTGGCCACAACAACTCTTTGGACAAGACCTTTAAGATGACTAGACTGAACTTGACCATTACTCATAATGACTGTGTCAAAGTTAATTGAATATCCTTTAATAATGCTGTAACTGGCAATAACTTTGTTTCTTATCATTGGAATGCTTCATACTTTGGCACAACTACATTTATGACAAAACCTTTAAGAAGAATAAAGTGAATTTGATATTGACTTATAAATAATGTTGTCCTTAAAGGTCAAATAATTTTATTTGCTTTTCTTCGCTTGATATATCATAACTTTGTTATTTATAGATGGATTTGATTTATACTTTGGGATAATAACACTTATGAAAACACCAGTTGTTGAATAATTTAAGTATGACATTGATTTCTAAAGGCTTTTTTGATTGTCAAGGTCAACTTATTGAATTAAGCCTAAAATGTGATCACTTTTTGTTCATTCATACTTGCACAAAACAACATGCAGAAATTTATATTGCCATAACTTTAACTAATGGACAGGTAGAGGAATAGGAATGCCACACATCAATTTAATGTAGAACTTTAAGTCAAGCAATGTTTGCATTTATTTTGTTTAAACAAAAGATGTTAAAGTGTGTTCTGTGTTTCAGTGATGAAAAATCAAGAAGAAGCGTATTCAATAGAGAGTAATTCAATACAACAGGTAATAGTAAATATTACTTACATTTAGAATTTGAAAAATTATGATAGATTTCAATGTCTAAAATATGAATCATTCTGTAGTATACTGGGATGTGGACATTGACTTGGTCCTATACTGTTGACATACTGCTTCCACTGTAATATCTTTTTTAATTTTGAATGTCAAATTTCACTTAATATTAATGCATTGTCTTGATATTATCACTAATTATAACTTTGGGGCATACCTCAAAATAATGGAGGTATCAATTTAAAACTACATAATGTAGATAGATTGATCTCAGGAAAGGTAAATGCTTAAAAACCATAACTGAATCACAATAACCATTAGGGACATGTATTGAATTTTGCTTAAATTCCCATAACTTTGTTATTAAGGGACAGATTTTATTCATTTTGGACAGAACAACACTAATGGCAGCAGCAACATTTTGAATAATTAAAGTATATTATTGTCAAATATGAATTTTCAGTTAAATTCAGTAGAAAAGTAAGGTGTTGTTTTTAGAACTCTTCAATGTTTCATCTTCTCAGTGTTTGCCTTTTGAAATAAGGAAAAGTTAAGTGTGACCTCCAGTTGTCATGATTCTTATTATGGTTACAGTATGAGATTGGTTCACTTATCTGTATTTTCAGATGTACACAGAGCTTACCTCTAGATATGACACAGCCAAGAAAGCTGAATCTGAGCTTAGATCTAATGTTTTAGCTTTAAAAAAGGTTTGTATATACAATTTTAAGAGTTCAGAGTTTTAAAATTGTAATTTTCTTGGTTATGTAGGATATTGAAATTTTAAATTGAAATCTTATCACTATGTGAGAAAATGATTTAAAAGCTCCAACAAAATCAAATATAGAAGACTTATACAGTTTCTAGAGATAATATGTTTGCTTTAAAATCATTGTGATGCAAAAACATTCTATTTATTTAAATGTATTGAATTAGTTAAAATGCCCAAACATTTCCCTAGAGATTAATTAGTGAGTGAGGAATAATATTGGAGAAATTTACTATGTTGAAATTAAGTGATTATTGGGACAATGTTGAAGTTACTGTAAAATGAGGGATGTATGTGAGATTTTAATTCCACTAGTTGCAGATGGTATATGAGACATGTAGATGTACTTAGAAAAATGTTTACTCTTGTTGAATATACTGCAAAAAGTGGTATATGGCATATGTATGATGTTCCTGATAGCGTATTTATGTTTTTTCTTTCTCATCATGTGTTTCACTTGGATTGTAATTTTCTGAAATAGCATTCTTTAGGTGACATCTCTTGACATCCATTTTCCATTTTGAGATACCATATAAAACACTGTCTTATAAAAACATTACATTGAAACATTTACATTGATTTGTTATATATTCACTCTGGCTTGCCCTGAAATTAATATCTATTTTCTCTGGCTTACCCGAAAGATTACATATATTCACATTAACTTGTTTTGGAGTTAATGTATGTTTCCATCAACCTGCTCTGGATTTGTCCACTACATTTGAAAAATTAGTATTTCTTACATTTGCTTAAGCAGGTACTTTATAAGTCAGTACATTGACTTTACCAAAACGTTTACAAGTCCAAACACTGACTGAAGCAGTTGTTTACATGTCTATACATTGACTTTACCAGAAAGTCTATAAGTAGTTTACATATTTATACACTGACTTTACCAGAAAGTCTATATGTTGACTTTACCAAGTTTATAACTCCTTACACTGACTTGATCAGCTAGTTTACAAATTTGTACATTGTCTTTACCAGGAAGTTTACAGGTCTTTACATTGACTTTATTTGGTAGTTAACAATTCTATACATTGACTTTACCAAGAAGTTTTGCAAGTCTTTACACTGACTTGACTGATTAGTTTACAACTCTTTATATTGACTTTACTAGAAAGTTTACAAATCTATAAACTGACTTGACTGGGTCGTTTACATGACTATACATTGACTTCAAGTCTATTCATTGACTTTACCAAAAAGTTTACTACAAATCTATACATTAACTTTACCAGAAAGTTTGTAAGTCTAAAAGTTGAATTTTCCATACAATAATTATTATTCCCACAAGTAAACTTGGATCTCTTTAAATAGCTAATCATGTTTAAAAGAAATATACTGCCCATAACTATTTATGATTTAGCAGTACTGGATGATAGCACTGAAGGAATGAATATTTTACAGGGCCTGAAAGTTTTATGATAGATTATGAGCACAATGATTAGAAAATTTAGTTTTTGTTGTACAGTCTTTTTTAACAAAAGATTCATCATAGGAGATCTGTATTTTATTACCCCCATTGGAGTTATTAGGACATAAAGCTAATTACGGATTTTTTGTCTCAGTGAAATTAAATTACAGTTTCTAAATTTCATATTACAAACAATGTATGATTTTCACAACGTAATTACCAGTCAGTGCGATCATAATTTACGTCTCCTCCTATGGGACAGATCCGAACCTGATTATTACGGAAATTGTTCAGTCCAAACGACACTAAAATATATTTACGTCATATTTTTGACGGCGCTAGTAAATAGTCAGAGCAAAACTTGTCATATTAAAACTGCGCTTAATCAAACTGCATAGTAATTATTTCCTCGTTGTTTGACATCGCTGATAAATATTGGGAAGAAAATGCGTCATTTTAAAGTCGAGGTCTTGTGAAAATTGAGATAGCTTTGGGGAAAAAAGTGTTATTAATGAATAGTATTAAAACTATGACCCAAGAAAAAGGCAAACAATACAGGGGATGGTATTTGGAAATGTTGATGATTAAGTTAGTATAGCTTGGCATTTAAGATAATAAGTTTTATGATGTTTCTGAATAAGGAAAATCTATTTAAATAATTGATTGGTACAGTGCTTTACTAGAAACAAAAAATAAAAATTAAGATAACTGAAACAATTTTGCACAGATTTGAGTTTTCATAGTTTCTCTATGCACAAGTTCATATCTGTCCAGAATGAATTTTGATGAAATTGTTTGTTGAAATAACATTTTTTCCTAATCCTGAATGAAATGCTTTAGTAAATAATACTTATTTTAATATGAAAAACAACCAATTTAATTTATATTGCTTCAGGAGTTGCTAGACAAAGATGATATTATAGCAGACATGCAACATAGACTTGATAAACAGAGGAAACGAACACAAGACCATAGCGGCAGTTTCCTTGATCCAGATAAGGTCTGCATTTATTACTAACTGCCTATACCCAGACATAAAAATTTTGTTGTTGAAACTATTATCTTGTGCTGGAAACAAATCACTGCTCAAGTGTTAAAGATTGCCATTTTTGTGTCACCTGCACACATTAACATATGGAGGTCACTTCACTGTGTGTCTGTCCGCAATATCAAATAAGGATAGGGGGCAATCTAACTGTAAACATTACAAAAGAGAAAAAAATAGTTCATCATGTAACAGTGGAATAAATGCCCTATATTAAAGAAAAGATAATAACAATAGAAATTGCACCTTATCCAATTTCAGTCACATGTTTGTCCATCACAAAACATTACAGACTACTGGTGCATTTTCATCCAAGGTTAAAGAAATAAGTACCAAGTGAAGCTGTGCATAACATCAGCATTTTCCAGCTCAGTGATTTTAGTCTTAAAAAGAGTTTTAGCTTTGTCTGTTTGGAAGAAAAAGTGGAGTTATTATGCTTGAGGCATCGTCAACATTGAGATTGTTGTTGTTTTTGTCATGCAAAAACTTTAATGTAGCCTATTATTTAAACAATTTTAAAGGTACCTTTATAAAACTTGGAATTCTTGCTTATCATGACAAGGCACAGTAGTTTAACAAAGGGCATCATTGTGAATGCTAATTTTATTGAATTATGCCCCTTTTTAACAGACCAGCATTAACACCGCATGCATTGTTCTTGTTATTATGCCCCCTTTTGAAAAAAAGGGGGTATATTGCTTTGCACTTGTCGGTCCGTCGGTCCGTCGGTCCGTAGACCAAATGGTTTCCGAGTGATAACTAAAGAACCCTTAGGCCTAGGAACTTCAAACTTGGTATGGTGATTGGTCATGACAAGTAGATGACCCCTATTGATTTTGGGGTCAAGGGGTCAAAGGTCAAGGTCACATTGACCTTGTAAGCAAAAACGGTTTCCGATCAATAACTAAAGAACCTTAAGGCCTAGGAACTTCAAACTTGGTATGGTGATTGGTCATGACAAGTAGATGACCCCTATTGATTTTGGGGTCAAGGGGTCAAAGGTCAAGGTCACATTGACCTTGTAAGCAAAAACGGTTTCCGATCAATAACTAAAGAACCTTAAGGCCTAGGAACTTCAAACTTGGTATGGTGATTGGTCATGACAAGTAGATGACCCCTATTGATTTTGGGGTCAAGGGGTCAAAGGTCAAGGTCACATTGACCTTGTAAGCAAAAACGGTTTCCGATCAATAACTAAAGAACCTTAAGGCCTAGGAACTTCAAACTTGGTATGGTGATTTGTCATGATCAGTAGATGACCCCTATTGATTTTGGGGTCAAGGGGTCAAAGGTCAAGGTCACATTGACCTTGTAAGCAAAAACAGTTTCCGATCATTAACTAAAGAACCCTAAGGCCTAGGAACTTCAAACTTGGTATGGTGATTTGTCATGATCAGTAGATGACCCCTATTGATTTTGGGGTCAAGGGGTCAAAGGTCAAGGTCACATTGACCTTGTAAGCAAAAACGGTTTCCGATCAATAACTAAAGAACCCTAAGGCCTAGGAACTTCAAACTTGGTATGGTGATTTGTCATGATCAGTAGATGACCCCTATTGATTTTGGGGTCAAGGGGTCAAATGTCAAGGTCACATTGACCTTGTAAGCAAAAACGGTTTCCGATCAATAAGTAAAGAACCCTAAGGCCTAGGAACTTCAAACTTGGTATGGTGATTGGTCATGATCAGTAGATGACCCCTAACGATTTTGGGGTCAAGGGGTCAAAGGTCAAGGTCACATTGACCTTGTAAGCAAAAACGGTTTCCGATCAATAACTAAAGAACCCTAAGGCCTAGGAACTTCAAACTTGGTATGGTGATTTGTCATGATCAGTAGATGACCCCTATTGATTTTGGGGTCAAGGGGTCAAATGTCAAGGTCACATTGACCTTGTAAGCAAAAACGGTTTCCGATCAATAAGTAAAGAACCTTAAGGCCTAGGAACTTCAAACTTGGTATGGTGATTGGTCATGATCAGTAGATGACCCCTAACGATTTTGGGGTCAAGGGGTCAAAGGTCAAGGTCACATTGACCTCTTGGGTAAAAACGGTTTCCGATCAATAACAAAAGAACCCTAAGGCCTAGGAACTTCAAACTTGGTATGGTGATTGGTTATGACCAGCAGATGACCCCTATTGATTTTGGGGTTAAGGGGTCAAAGGTCAAGGTCACATTGACCTTGTAGGTAAAAACGGTTTCCGATCAATAACGAAAGAACCCTTAGGCCTAGGGACTTCAAACTTGATATGGTGATTGGTCATGATCAGTAGATGACCCCTATTGATTTTGGAGTTAAGGGGTTAAAGGTCAAGGTCACATTGACCTTGTAGGTAAAAACGGTTTCCGATCAATAACGAAAGAACCCTTAGGCCTAGGGACTACAAACTTGATATGGTGATTGGTCATGATCAGTAAATGACCCCTATTGATTTTGGGGTCAAGGGGTCAAAGGTCAAGGTCACATTGACCTCTTAGGTAAAAACAGTTTCGGATCAATAACTAAAGAACCCTTAGGCCTAGGAACTTCGAACTTGGTATGGTGATTGGTCATGATCAGTAGATGACCCCTATTGATTTTGGGGTCAAGGGGTCAAAGGTCAAGGTCACATTGACCTCTTAGGTAAAAGCAGTTTCCGATCAATAACTAAAGAACCCTTAGGCCTAGGAACTTCAAACTTGGTATGGTGATTGGTCATGACCAGCAGATGACCCCTACTGATTTTGGGGTTAAGGGGTCAAAGGGAAAGGTCACATTGACCTTGTAGGTAAAAATGCTTTCCGATCAATAACTTAAGAACCCTTAGGCCTAGGAACTTCAAACTTGGTATGGTGATTGGTCATGACCAGCAGATTACCCCTTTCGATTTTGGGATCAAGGGGTCAAAGGTCAAGGTCCCATTGACCTTGTAAGTAAAAACGGTTTCTGATCAATAACTAAAGAACACTTGGGCCTAGGAACTTCAAACTTGGCATAGTGATTGGTCATGATCAGCAGATGACCCCTATTGATTTTGGGGTCAAAGGTCAAGGTCACATTGACCTTGTATGTTAAAACGGTTTCAGATCAATAATAAAAGAACCCTTAGGCCTAGGAACTTCAAACTTGGCATGGTGATTAGTCATGACCAGCAAATGACCCCTATTGATTTTGGGGTCAAGGGGTCAAAGGTCAAGGTCACATTGACCTTGTAAGTAAAAACGGTTTCTGATCAATTAAGTAAAAACGCTTAGGCCTAGGAACTTCAAACTTTGTATGATGATTTGTCTTGACCAGCAGATGACCCCTATTGAGTTTTGGGTCAAGGGGTCAAAGGTCAAGGTCATGACCAGTAGATACTTGATAACCCTTATTAATTGTTTGATCACTGGGTCAGAAGTCATGCATAATTACCTTATCACATGAATAATTGGCTGCTGATAGGGGGCATACATGTTTTACAAACATATCTTGTTCTTTAAGTTTGTCCGGCCTACTTCTCTTTTACTACTAATGCAATTTGTATAAAATGTTATATGATTGATCCATCCCTCAAGTACTTGCGCATATTTAAAAGGCTTTTGGTTGTATGGTTTTTGGTTGAGTTATGGCCCTTAAATAAAAAAGTCATTTTGGCCTGTTACTGATTTTTGTGTTGCCTTCATAGTAGCTGCGACATCTTTCAAGGTAGCCATCACATTTAAGAATCTTTTGTTAGTCATCTTTCTGTCTGTGAGTCTGTCTTTCTGTCACCAATTTAGGTATCATTGATATCACAAAACTGTGTTTCTAACTGTGCCAATCCATGGAACATTGTGGTATCCTGTTCAGCATCATTAGTTGGGTAATTCTTACTTTCTCCACATTACAGAACCATATAGTCAATTTTACTGCTCCAACAAACTGACCAATTACCCCTCAATACAACTGCTTAATTGGCTATTGTGATCACTGATTGCTCTTGTTTAATGAAACAAACCTGTTTTGGATACAAACAATGCATCAAGGATTTTATCACTCGGTAAATTTAAGATTAATTTTTAATATGTTATGAATGAGAGCTGAGGTGCTGAGTGGTTAAGGTCCCTGACTCAAAATCACTAGCCCCCATTGCAGTTAGACTCTTAATGAAAATTAAAAGGTATCCACCTGTTGCTTGTGCCAGAAATTATAAGCAGAAGGTCACCTGAGTTGTCATCATATAACCTTAACTTTGTCTGTGTGACTTAAATTTCAACCAAAAAAATGACTAATAGTGATACAAGTGTGATATAGTGTACAAATGTTCTTCTGGTATTTATATGTACTTAGTTTGTAGGATTATTAAATGTCAGGATTATGGTCATAGAATAAATAACTGTAAGTTAGTACCATGGTGTATAAATGTATAAACTACGAGAGGTGGATTCTCTATAAACACTAACAAACAATCATCATTAACACCCTTTGAATGCTATAATTACATACCTATATGATCAGATTTCAAAATTGTCACACAATTGGTCAAATACAAGAATGCATTTTAAAGATAACTTCTGTTATAATTTAAGGTTGAACCAGTGTTAGATTTAGAATATAAAGTGAAGTCAATGCAGAATGAGATTGATAATTTAAGAAGACAACTAGTGGAAAAAGAAGGGTAAGTTATTCATGTTGATACGGTAAAAAAATATATTGTAGAAAGTAATGTGATGTGTATGCACAATTGTTAAAGAGAGTTATGTTAGTGCATTGATCAAAACAGTATGAATAGGGGGTGTCAGTGGCCTAGTGGTAAAGATCATTGACATCAAACCACTTGACCCTCACTGATGTGGATTCGAATCCCAACAGGAACTTTGGATTCTCTCATGATAGAAAGCTATCCAACTAGATAATGAAATGTCGATGGTTCTACTCTGGTGCTTGTTCACACCTGAAATAATGCACTGAGGGACACTGAGGTATTCCTCCACCAGTAAAGCTAAGAAGTTTTTACTGTATATATACAGTAGAATACCTACTTAAGACCACCCCAGAATTAAGAACAGACCAATTTTTATAAGAACGGAATTTTCTGTTCTTTATGTCAATGGTTACATGATCCAGAATTAAGACCAGAAAAGCAGAAATCATTTAACGAAAGTTTTCCAAATCTTTTCAACATTTTATATAAAAAAACAACAAATTAAAACATTTTTAAAAATCATACCTATACCTAACGAAACAATTACAATGAAAAAGCTATAATTCAATTGCCAATAAGAAATTAACTGTGTGTTTTCACACCTGCAACAATAAAGCAGGTGATCATTAACTGGTAGTTGAACATGTCACCTGTTGGGATTATGTTTTAATCTACATTAAAATACACAGAAAGATGACTCACCGGTTTTCAGAGGATTTTTTATGCATTAGTAGCCATAGAAAATTGTCCGGTTTTAGGAATTCAGAGGTTCTGGTATTTACAGGATTTTTTTTCAATTAACATAATTATCAGGAGAAAATACGGGACTTTTAAAATAGGTTTTCAGAGGGTCTGGTTTTCAGTGCTTTTACTGTTTTCACAAGTCAAAGCAATGACTTTACAACTTATTTTTTTCACAATAACAAACACCATGACTCTTTCAAGTAATATAACTGTGTGGCAATTTTTTTTGTGCCCCCACTTTAGGGGGGGGGGGGGGGCGCACTAACTCAAAAAGTATCTGACCTAGTGTCATGAAACTTTACAGGAATGTTGATCAGCATGTGTAGTTGTGCACCTGGGAATTTTCTTGCAGGTATATTTAGTATTTGTAGAGTTATTGCCCTTGACTTCATAAACAATTTGCAATTTTCAACTTGTGTCGCACATATCTCAATAAGTATTTGACTTAGAGTCATGAAACCTTACAGGAATGTTGCTCAGCACGTGTAGTTGTGCACCTGGGGTTTCGCTTGTGGATTTATTCTGTTTTGTTAGACCCTTGACTTAGTAAATATTTGCAATTTTCAGCTTGTGTCACATGTAGCTCAAAAAGTATTTGACCTAGAGTCATGAAACTTTACAGGAATGTTGATCATTATGTGTAGTTGTGCACCTGGGTATTTTCCTGTGGATATGTTTAGTACTTTCAGAGTTATTGCCCTTGATTTTGTAAAAATTTACCATTTTCAACTTGTGTAGCACGTAACTCAAAAGTATTTGATCTAGTGTCATGAAACTTTACAGGAATGTTGCTCAGCATGTGAAGTTGTGCACCTGGGGTTTCACTTGTGGATTTATTGTTTTGCTAGATTTATTGCCCTTGACTTAGTGAAAACCGTTCCATTATGTTGTGTTATTTGTTTCTCGAGTGCTTGAGTTAGAATCAACCAACTTTACAGGAATAATGATCAACATCACTGTGAAGCTATGCACTTGGGGTTTTGCATGTGGATTTTTTTTCAGTTTTGATAGAGTTATTGCCCTTGACTTAGTATAAATTTGCAATTTTAAACTTGTTCATGCATAACACAAAAAAGATTTGACCTGTAGGTCCGAAAGTTTACAAGAATGTTGGTCAGCCATGTACTTATGCACCTTAGGGTTTGCTTATGGATTTATTCAGTATTTGTAAAGTTCTTGATTTTGACTTTGTAAACGATTTTTATATGCAAGAAAGGGCATATTATGCTATCCCCCTGGCGTCCATCTGTCCGTCCGTCCGTTAGCAATTCGGTTTCCAGAGCATAACTTAAGTTCCATTTGGCCCACAATGTTCAAACTTCATAGGATGATTGTCCATATTGGGTAGAAGACCCTTATTGATTTTGGGGTCAAAAGGTCAAAGGTCAAGGTCACTATTACCTTAAAACTGAAAACAGTTTCTAGAGCATAACTTAAGTTCCATTTGACATATAATGTTCAAACTTCATAGGATGATTGTCCATATTTGGTAGAAGACCCTATTGATTTTTGGGTCACAAGGTCAAAGTCACAATTACCTTGATACTGAAAACAGTTTCCGGAGCATAACTTAAGTTCAATTTGACCCACAATGTTAAAACTTCATAGGATTATTGTCCATATTCGCCTATTGATTTTGGGGTCAAAAGGTCAAAGGTCAAGGTCACTATTACCTTAAAATTGAAAACAGTTTCCGGAGCATAACTTAACTTCCATTTGACCCACAATATTCAAACTTTATAGAATGATTGTCCATATTGGGTAGGAGACTGCTATTGATTTTGGGGTCACAAGGTCAAAGGTCAAGATCACTATTACCTTAATACTGAAAACAGTTTCCGAAGCATGACTTAAGTTCCATTTGGCCCACAATATTCAAACTTGATAGGATGATTGTCCATATTTTGCAAAAGACCCCTAATGATTTTGGGGTCACTAGATCAAAGGTCAAGGTCACAATTACCTTAAAACCAAAAACAGTTTCCGGAGCATAACGTAAGTCCCATTTGGCCCACTATATTCAAACTTCATAGGATGATTGTCCATATTGGGTAGAAGACCCCTATTGATTTTGGGGTCACAAGGTCAAAGCTCAAAGTCACTTTTACCTTTATACTGAAAACAGTTTCTAGAGCATAACTTAAGATCCATTTGGCCCACAATACTCAATCTTCATAGTATGATTGTGTATATTGGATAGAAGACCCCTATTAATTTTTGGGTCACAAGGTTAAAGGTCAAGGTCACTATTACCTTAAAATTGAAAACAGTTTCCGGAGCATAACTAAAGTTCCATTTGGCCCACAATATTCAAACTTCTTAGGATGATTGTCCATATTAGGTAGAAGACCCCTATTGATTTTGGGGTCACAAGGTCAAAGCTTAAGTATTAATCAACCTACAGCTGTAAAATTTTATAGGATGAACAGCTAATTCCCATGTCTTACAAATGCTTCATCCTTACTAAGAAAAAAACACTTTTGGGCATATAATGCTCCGCCTAGCGGTGCTCTTGTTAGTATAATTATGTAGCCTAAAAATATTTGACCTTAAGTCATAAGATTGACAAAATAGTGGAGTGTGAGGGCACCCGTGTCCTATGGACACATTTCTAGTTTAAATATTGTTACTGACAAGAATTTGAGCCGGGGGCATTTGTGATTAACAAACACATTGTTGTTTAAAAGGTTGTTGATCAATTTATAAAGAAGATCCAAATATCCATTCTAATCATACCTTCCACAATTAAGATATTTAACACTACTTGCATATTATAAACCTTTTGTAATGTATCTGTACCAGTAATGCAGACTATGATTTAGTGAATGTGTTCATATGATAATGAGATAATTAATATTAATAATTATGTTCCCCTTCGAAGAAGAGGGGGTATATTGTTTTGCTAATGTCGTTTGGTCTGTCTGTCTGTCAGTATGTCTGTCGGTAGACCACATGGTTACCACTAATTATCTAAAAAAAAATTATTTACCACAAAGTCTTCATATTTCACATACATACTAGTCATAACTAGTAAATGACCCTTATTGATTTTGGGGTCACAATGTCAAAGGTCAAGGTCACAGGGGCCTTTAATGTCAGAATGGTTTCTGCACATTATCTTGAAAGCTATTTATCACAAAGTCTTCGTATTTCAAATACTGATTGGTCATACCGTACAAGTGTTTTTTTCTGCGGGCTCCAAATTCTGTGTTTTTTCTAAATTTTGGCATGTTTTTATTTCTACGTACTTTATTTCTGCAGCACATTCTTTGGACAAAAGGTGATTTAAATTCTGCGACTCTTCTTATCAAAGTCTAAGTCACATTACTCTATTTTATTTGCATGTACACATTCGCATTTTTTTATCGTTGTCACCACAAAACTGTACAGTAATTACAAACAATTATATTGTTTGCTTGCAAACAAATATAATGCGCAACAATAGAAAGGTTTGCATCTTTTGATCAACGTGAAATGACTTGTGAAAAATATACCCCATTTTAATACCGTAAATCAGATGACAATTATAAGTATACGACGATTATTTAGCAGTATAAGGGTTGAAATGGTTTGAATGATTTAGTAAACAAACCTTAAGCGTATCGGCAAACACTATATATGTTGTTTAAATATCTTTATTCTTAAGTTAACAAAATTAGCAATAAGTACATCCTTACAAACACAGAATATATACTTGAAAAAACCGCTAACCGTAATAATCCGTTAGTCGTTATTACTTTAGATGAAACAGGTCATAATGCAGTACACATATAGTACCAGGTTAAAAAAAAAAAAAAAAAAATATATAGAGAAAAATTCTGACCGCAGAAATAAAGTCATTGCAGAAAAAACCACTTATTTGGTAACAAGTTGATGACCCCTATTGATTTTGGGTCACTAGGTCAAAGGTCAAGGTCACAGGGGCATTGAATGATGAATGGTTTCCGCTCATTATCTTTAAAGCTATTTATCATAAAGTCTTCATATTTCACACACTGATTGGTCATAACCAGTAGATGACCCCTATTGATTTTGAAGTCACTAGGTCAAAGTAACAGGGGAATTGAATGATTGAATGATTTCTGCTTATTATCTTGAAAGCTATTAATCACTAAGCATTCATATTTTCACATTTCATTTTGATTTTCATATTGATTTTGGGGTCACTAGGTCAAAGGTCAAAGTCCCAAGGGCCTTAAATGTCAAAATAGAAAGTCTTCATATTTCAAATCTTGATTGGTCATAACTAGTAGATGACCCCTATTGATTTTGGGGTAACTATGTCAAAGGTCAAAGTCACAGGTGCATTAAATGTCATAGTGGTTTCCGCTCTATACCTTGAAAACTTCATATTTCACATATTGATTAGTCATAATAGGGTCACAAGTTCAAAGGTCAAAGTCTTTATATATCACAATATTCATTGGTTATAACTAGTAGGTCATTATTTTTCTATTTCCATAACTGAACACTTCCATGTACCCATTTTGGGCGAATTTCCATAACAAAATTACCAATAGTATGAGTCAAGGGCTAGAAAGGGGGCATATGTGTCGTTCAACATTTCTTGTTATGTGGGGTTTTTTTTATACGCAGATTATGTTTATTCATTTATAGCAGATTATATTAAAATGAAGTATTTTGTATACAATAAACTTGATAACTTATGTTATCCTAGGCATATAGAACAGCTTGAAGATGATGCCATTAATCAAACCATTGAGTTTGATGTGGCACGCCTGAATCGACATGAGCGTACACATTCCACACCATCTCGACAATTTAGAAGTATCGGTCTTAGTCCACTAAAAGCTCAGGAAGAGAAACAACCAGATAGGTTAGGTAAAGGTCACAGATCAAGGTCAATGTCACCATCTAGGCGGGAGCAGACGCGACCCAGATTTCATGTACAGAAAGATTTAGAGGACTGTAGAGCCATCTTAAAGCTGAAGGTAATAATGATACATTATTCTCGCAGTATTATATGATATCATATTTATTAAATCACTGTACCATTGTAGCTTAAAACATTTTTGAAGTCTGTGAAATTAACTGTTCAAAGCGTTATGTATATAATCTTTAAAATTATGTACATCTGAAAATGGAAGCTGTCATATTAAGTATTGATATTGATCATTTTAGTAAAGTTTTAAAGAAATTCATATTTATTGCTTAGAGTAAGTAAATACAATGCCTATAGCATAATACAGTTTAACATTTCATGATATGGCAGTTGTAATGAAATACCTTTGAATACCAACAAAATTTAATGTACAGACAATTAACAATGTATATCTTGTCCTTCTGGGACTAGAAAATGTTATTATTTAAGTCATCTAGCTGATTTTACAGAACAAGACTGTGATATCTGTTTCCTAAGACTGGAATATACAGACAGGTTTAACTGTATTTGCTTTAAGTAAGGAGATTATTTTTTTATCATGACAAGTATATGTGTGTATGTACATCAGATCAGAGAGCTGGCAGAATTAAAGAAAGCACATCAGAAGCGACTGGAGAGACTGAAGAATGTACAAGAGAACTATAAAAATGTTAAAGAACAACTTAAAGCACTAGAGACAGAATATTATGGGTAAGCTGCTCAAACATTTTGTAAATCATTGAAGGTTTTGGTTGAAGTGTTTCTGTTTTTTTTTATGCCACCCCCAAAATCAGGAGATTTTATAGTTTTTAGTAAAAATCAAGTCCCTCCAAAGTCCTGATATGGATTTTTATAAAAGTGCATTGATGTTTGTGTCTGTCATTGCTGGATTGGTTTTAAAATAACTTTACATAAATGTGTTACACATGATGATGACGTATCGCACATAGAAATCAGGTCTCCAAATCTTTCATATGTAAATAGTCTTTTTGTGCTTAGCTTTGTTATACATGGATAGATTTTTAAATAAATATGCTTTATTATAATGACATGTTTTGAACAAAGTTAAGTTCTGCAGCCTAAAGGCCAAGTTCATACATGAATGTCAAATCCATGATACCATATGCATGAATAGTCATATATCTAGTCCATTAATTTGTCATTCATATCTAGTTATCAATTCTGTCATTCATGAATGAATTTGAAATCACTAGGCATTCTTTGTGACACATTCAGAAAATTTGTCACACGCAAACAACAGGTCAACAGCTAGGAAAATGAAGGTTATACTTGAATGTAAAACTAGTACATTAATGGGTGTGTCTGGTCATATCTTTGTCATTCATTTATGTATACTTTTTGAAATAATTGGACTCACTGAGAATATGAGAAAGTATTTGAGCCGCGTCACGACAAAACCAACGTAATGCATTTGCAACCACCATGGATCCAGACCAGCCTGCGCATCTGCGCAGTCTGATCAGGATCCATGCTGTTCGCTATCAGTTTCTCTACTTGTTATAGGGTTTGTAAGCGAACAGCATGGATCCTGATCAGACTGCACGGATGCACAGGCTGGTCTGGATCCATGCTGGTCGCAAACCCATTATGTTGGTTTTGTCATGACGCGGCTCATTTGTTTATTTTTAGCTCACCTGAGCACAAAGTGCTCAAGGGTGAGCTTTTGTCATTACTCTGCGTGCGTCATGCGTCCTTCAAAAAATGGCGTCAAACTTTTCAAACAACATCTCCTAAACCACATGGCCGATTGCAACCAAACCTCTGGTTACCATGGCAACGGAAAGAAAAAACTTAAAATATCTTCTTTTAAAAGAGCTAGAGCTTAGATATTTGGCATGAAACATCTTCTAGTGAGTGTCTACAAAGTTTGTTCAAATAAAAACCCTGGGGTCAAAATTGGCCCCGCCCCAGGGGGTCATTGATTTTCCCTATATGCATATAGAAAAAACTTAAAAAATCTTCTTTTAAAGAACCAAAAGAGCTAGAGCTAAGATATTTGGTATGAAACATCTTCTAGTGAGTGTCTACAAAGTTTGTTGTGCCCCCACGTTAGTGGCGGGCATTTAGATTTACCCTTGTCCGTCCGTCCGTCCGTCCTTCCGTCCGTCCGTCCGTCCGTTCACTTTTGTGTCGCACGTAACTCAAAAAGTATTTGACCTAGAGTCATGAAACTTTACAGGAATGTTGATCAGCATGTGTAGTTGTGCACCTGGGTATTTTTGTGTGGATATTTTTAGTATTTTCAGAGTTATTGCCCTTGACTTAGTAAAATTTTGCAATTTTCAACTTGTGTCGCATGTAACTCAAAAAGTATTTGACCTAGAGTCATGAAACTTTACAGGAATGTTGATCAGCATGTGTAGTTGTGCACCTGGGTATTTTCGTGTGGATATTTTTAGTATTTTTAGAGTTATTGCCCTTGACTTAGTAAAATTTTGCAATTTTCAACTTGTGTCGCATGTAACTCAAAAAGTATTTGACCTAGAGTCATGACACTTTACAGGAATGTTGATCAGCATGTGTAGTTGTGCACCTGGGTATTTTTGTGTGGATATATTTAGTATTTTTAGAGTTATTGCCCTTGACTTAGTAAAAAATTGCAATTTTCAACTTGTGTCGCATGTAACTCAAAAAGTATTTGACCTAGAGTCATGAAACTTTACAGGAATGTTGCTCAGCATGTGTTGTTGTGCACCTGGGTATTTTCGTGTGGATATTTTTAGTATTTTCAGAGTTATTGCCCTTGACTTAGTAAAATTTTGCAATTTTCAACTTGTGTCGCATGTAACTCAAAAAGTATTTGACCTAGAGTCATGAAACTTTACAGGAATGTTGATCAGCATGTGTTGTTGTGCACCTGGGTATTTTCGTGTGGATATTTATAGTATTTTCAGAGTTATTGCCCTTGACTTAGTAAAATTTTGCAATTTTCAACTTGTGTCGCACGTAACTCAAAAAGTATTTGACTTAGAGTCATGTAACTTTACAGGAATATTGATCAGCATGTGCAGTTGTGTACCAGGTATTTTCGTCTGGATGTATTTAGTATTTTTAGAGTTATTGCCCTTCACTTAGAAAATTTTTGCAATTTTCAACTTGTGTCTCAAGTTACTGAAAAAGGATTTGACATAGTCATTAAACCTTATGGGCAGGTTGCTCAGCATATTTAGATTTGCACCTGGGGTTTCGCTTGTGGATTTATCCAGTATTTGTAGAGTTATTTCCCTTGACTTAGTAAAAAGATTGACAGAACAGTGGCGCGGTGGGGGCACCCGTGTCCTATGGACACATTTCTAGTTCAAATAAAAACCCTGGGGTCAAAATTGGCCCCGCCCCAGGGGGTCATTGATTTTCCCTATATGCATATAGAAAAAACTTAAAAAATCTTCTTTTAAAGAACCAAAAGAGCTAGAGCTAAGATATTTAGCATGAAACATCTTCTTATGAGTGTCTACCAAGTTTGTTCAAATAAAAGCCCTGGGGTCAAAATTGGCCCTGCCCCAGGGGGTCATTGATTTTCCCTATATGCATATAGTAAAAACTTAAAAAATCTTCTTTTAAAGAACCAAAAGAGCTAGAGCTAAGATATTTAGCATGAAACATCTTCTAATGAGTGTCTACCAAGTTTGTTCAATTAAAAGCCCTGGGGTCAAAATTGGCCCCGCCCCAGGGGGTCATTGATTTTCCCTATATGCATATAGTAAAAACTTAAAAAATCTTCTTTTAAAGATCTCAAAGAGCTAGAGCTAAGATATTTAGCATGAAACTTGTTCTAATGGGTGTCTACCAAGTTTGTTCAAATAAAAGCCCTGGGGTCAAAATTGGCCACGCCCTGGGGGTCATTGATTTTCCTTATATGTGTATAGCAAAAACTTAAAAGTCTTCTTTGAAAAAACCCAAATAGCTAGAGTTAAGATATTAAGCATGAAACATGTTCTAGTAAGTGTCTACAAAGTTTGTTCAAATAAAAGCCCTGGGGTCAAAACTGGCCCCGCCCCAGGAGTGTCATTGTTTTTAACTATATGTGTATAGTAAAAACTTAAAAAATCTTCTTTTAAAAAACCCAATGAGATTCTTTTAAAAAACCCAATGAGCTACAGCTTAGATGTTTAGCATGAAACATCTTCTTATGGGTGTCTACCATGTTTGTTCAAATAAAAGCCCTTGGGTTAAAATTGGCCCTGCCGGGGGTGGCGGGGAGGGGCAGATCATTGTTTTTCATTATATGTGTGTAGTAAAAACTTAACATCATGAAACATCTTCTTATGGGTGTCTTCCAAGTTTGTTCAAATAAAAGCCCTGGGGTTTAAACTGGCCCCGCTCCGGGGGCCTATATACAGGTGAGCGACCTCAGGGCCATCATGGCCCTCTTGTTATATATTCTTTTGTTTGTATCAAACAACTGGTCTTGTTTAGTATAATGGCTGTCACATCTTGGAATACTTACAACAGGAAGAAGCTGACCATTATGTTCTCAGATTGGGGTGGATGAGCTGACACTCATGGATAAACTCCTGGATTTGAAATTTTTTTCACTTCGTTGAATCCCCATGGAAATAAAAAAGATCACAGTGTTGAAGCCCCATGGATGTAAAATTAGGCAAAATGATAAATCTCCAAGGGGAAAGGCATTGCACTATCATATTAAATTCCAATGAAAATATTACAATTTTCATTATTAAATCCCAATGGAAATTGAAAAATTCAATATAAAATGTATCGTGAAATTTGCAGATCAAAGAAGAAGTCAAAGAAGGTAAAGAGAGCAGATCCAAAAGATTTAAGACATGAGGACAGTACTGCTGTCTGGAATGAACTGGCTTATTTCAAAAATGAAAACAGAAATCTTGTTGTAGAAAGGTATCTTTTACATTTTGTATCATTTACAAAGTGAATAAATCCTTCATATCAAAATTTATTATTCATCAGATTCTTCATAGTATAACCTGATTTTATTACCATATATGTTACACTTTATAAAGATCTCAACAACACATCGTAGATCTTTATGAAAAGCTTTAAAAATATATAGTTAAATTTCTGACCTATACAAATAATACAGTTTCACACATGATTCTCATACAAGATATAATATGACATTCCAGACATTTTAAAGTATCATATATCCAGATGTTACAAAACATTAATCTAAACAAAACATGTTGTAAATCAGTGAAATAGTTCTGATGGAAAACACATAAGTAAATTCCTTTTTAAAAAGTTCGTAGTTGAAAGCAGATTTCCAGCTGCCCCTACCATCTTATAAAACTGTATTTCTAGTATTGAAGGCATTTATAAAAATGTCTTTATTTTATATCTTTTTATTACTTGTAGAATGTCATTAGAGGAAGAATTAGACAGTCTACGTGTAAAGGCAAGTGAAGATGCAGCCACTTTACATGAGCTTAAAGTCACACTTGAACAGGAGAGAGAAGGTAACATATACAGGCTTGAAAGTAGTCCTTCTTTTTTGTCACACTCCTACTTTTTCCTACTTTTAAAAAAATCCTACTATTCCTACTTGTTTAATAAAAATGAAACTAAAAAATGTATATATCACCATGTTTAAGTCTTTTGCAGAATGAAATATGTTAAATGATGTAAGGACTGATGGCATATACTGTTACACTATTGTTAAGGTTCTAAGGAGTCCTTGAAATTCTTCTGTTGACCTCTTTTGCAAGCTGGTGCATTTATTGATTTGTGTGAACAGCTGAATGTTCTTGCCAAAGAGGCAAGTTGGTTTTAAAAAAAAACACATTTTGAACTTGTATGTTGCCTTTTATGTCGATGATGTGCGCTGTAGAAATTTGCCCCAATGATGTACAAACCGAGGGGGGAATTATGCACCTATCAGTAGGTCTGGTAGGGATACCAGTATTAGGATACCTTTATTTAAAATATTTGAAATTTTATATGAAATGTTATGTCTCTGTACAGAATTTACTTTTTCAGTAAGAAATAATGCCACATATGTAGGATTTTAGATTTTGTTTCTGTTTAAAGTTTCTGATTATCCATGTTTGCATTAATAGGTGGATAATGAGTGAGGAGAAATACTTCTACTAAAACCTCAATTATGAGTAAAAGTTATTCTTCTTATTCAGAAAATCACTGATTACCATATTTAGTAAAATGAACATAAAAGTAATAGACATGTTTAATTTTAAATAGTTGAATAATAAAATAATTTTAAAGGTTAGGTGCACGGAGGAAGGTAGTCTAGTACTGGTGTAACTCTCCAGGAACGATGGTTAGGAAACTACCCGCCTATATGACTGAAATACTGTTGGAAAAAGGCGTAAAATGAAACAAACAAACAAACAATAAAGGTTAGGTAGAAGAATCTGCATTGACCAACTTAAGTTTGGCTCCATGAAGCTAGACTAGAATTTGTTGCAGCATTGTTGTTTTGACTGTACCTGGCCTCTTTGCACTTAATGTTTCAAAATCATCAGTTTTTACATGCAAATAAAACTGAAAAAATAAAATAACAATAAACAATCAAAACTAATTTGGGTATTATTGAGCACACAGAATACAAAACTACTAGTATTCATAAGAAATATATTACTTCAATAGTTACATACTTTATAAGTTTGCTTTAATAGAACTTTTGTACAGTGTACATCATTGTATTCCAGTTATTCTGATGTTTGTCAATTGCTCTGTCACTTTAAATTTATAATTATGCTACTCCATAACCAGTGTGTACCATATAGCTTTGTGTATGTGCTTAATATGAAAGCATTAAATTTTGTACTTTTGGTGGTTTTACACATCTGCCAGTAGTTTTGCAATTTAAACTAGGGTTATTGTATCTGACTCAATAAATAGTGTGCCTCAATCTAATATTATATACTCAATTTGCACATGTGAGCATTTCTACTTGTGGTTAATCAAGTTGTAATGTTTTAATTGATCTGCAACATTAAATATATGCTGCTCAAGTTAAATTTCAACTTTATACTCTATATCTTTTTGTATATTTGCATATGTGAGCATATGTACATGGGTTGCCTGTACTGGCAGTAGTTTTGGTTATAAATCTAGGTGCAAAGTTTTAATGGAGCATGCATTAGCTGTTCCTGAGAAAGACACTGAGCTGCCTGGAATCCAATGACTGAAGACTGAAATTGAAGTTTTGTCTGCACATTTTGTTCTGTTTGTCCTGACACTGGTCACAATTACTTTTTCATGTGCACTACAAAAATAGCCTGTTCTAAACAACATTGTAGAAATGATTTTATCACCTAAAGAATTCTACCACCTGGTTCTTAGTTTCATCTTTTAAACAGCACAGAAATGTACTTTCACTGTATTTTATAGTTTGTTTGAAATGTTCAATTGTATTAATAAATTGAGAGAAAAAAATCAGTTTGACAGCAGCATGTACAAAAGATATTAGAGCCTCCTCAAGTAAGACATCCCTTATAACATGTGACTGCTGTTGTCTGAAATGTTCACCATTGCTTAAGTGAGTTGATTTATACAAGATTTCTTCATAAGTTTCTTAAATTTATTCCTACTTTTCGTGGTCAAATTCCAACTTTTTTTCTACTTTTTTCCTACTTTTTTCTTGAACTCATTCCTATTTTTTTCCTACTTTTTCATGAAAAGCCACTTTCAGGCCTGCATAAATGTCATGCAACACTAGCAGATAGTCACATATCTAGGTCAGTCTTTATATCTGTACATGACCCAAAAATCTGAAATATGTCATGTTTTCAGAATCAGAATAAGGACAGGTCTATAAAGAATTGTAAGGTATGGTTTAATTGTATAAATTACTGTTTGTTATACCCTGGATGAAATGCATTAATGTTTTCTATGTTTATTTTTTAGTCTATTGGTTAAAATAATAATGTTTTTTTCAGAGAGAATGTATGAAAAGAAGAAGAATGATAGAAACATGGATGGTGTAGCTACACAGAAATCAGAGATTGTTCTCCTTAAGTCAGAGGTCACTTTAGTTTTACTATTACTATACACTTTATACTTTATGTTGTCTATTTGTATCAAGACTGACTTGAAAGTATTCCATTTTAAAAAACGTAATGCCAGTGCCTTATCAAGTTATTTTCACCCTATTACCAAGCACCTTTGTCTTGCCCCATTTGAAATCGAAAATTACCTTTTTATTCAAAATTTCAGAAAATATTTCCATTAGGTGCCAAAAAATCCAACTGTTTCAACTTCTGAGATAACTGTTTTGACTTGCTTCTAAAACAAGTGACTGGTTATGTGATGATTACAGATACATAAATTAAACTAAACACTCACCTAGAAATTTAGTTTTTCAACTCTTTAGCTCACCTGTCACAAAGTGACAAGGTGAGCTTTTGTAATCACAATTCGTCCGGCGTTCATCCGTATGTCCGTCCGTAAACTTTTACTTTAAACAACATCTCCTCATAAACCAATTTCATCCAAACTTCACAGGAATGTTCCTTTGGTGGTCACCTTTAAAAATTGTTCAAAGATTTTCCTTACATGTACACATCTTTTGGAACTGTAATGATTTTACACATGCACTGTTTCAGATACAAATATGAACTTTGTGATATCGGCTTAAGATTTAGATCTTATATATGCTTTTGTTTACAGTTTACAATATTATTTTTTCCTTATTAAGTATAGTTTCCATATTCAGGTGAGCCATTTCAGAGCCATCATGGCCCTCTTGTTTAAATTCCTCAAATTATCCAAAATTCTTAATAATGTTTCCCACTTTAAGCCATACAAGCTGAAAAAGGCTCTGTATATAAATAATATCTGAGTGCTTCTCGATATATATGGCTTACAAAAGAGTTGGAGATGGAAAGACCCCTGGGGTTGTAGTGGACTCAGAAAATTGTGTATATGAGAATGAGCAATGGAAATAGAGATTCAAGGATTAACAAGAAAGGCTAGTAATAAATTTTACAAATATGAATGTACTGAAGCATTAATATAGATACATGTCTATGTCAAAGGTTTCTTTTTAAATTGTGACTAAAATTAGTTCATATATGTTTATGTTACAGGTACAGAATAAAGATGTGGTGATAGCACGTTTAGAGAGAGATATAAATGATGTACGTGGTGACAGGGATGCTACTTTAGAGGAAAAAAGGTGAAATATGTCTCCCCATACTCCTAAGTTACAATGCACTGAAATGCACTGTACAAAAAATGTTAAACTGTTTGAAAAAGCTACAGTTAAACTTTGTGCGCTCGAACTCAGATCGCATAAATACCTCCCTTAGCTCGAACTCATTGCAGAGTCCCAGCAAAGTTCCTATATAATATATATTGTTCTACCTCAGATCGCTAGAAGATCGCTCAAACTTGAGCCCTGGCCCCTTCGGCAGAAATATAGTGGAAATCACACCTTTTCGGTGGAACACAAAAATGCAAACCAAAAGTTGTGGGTCGACAAGTTCTGAAAGTTCCCCCCCCCCCCTTTTTTTTTTGAGGCTTCAAATTGTGAAAAAAAAAGTGTGAGGGGCTAAAATGGAAAAAAACAACGCAAAATAGTGATTTTTGGCATTTTTGAGACGTCACTCCTTGCCATGGTATCAGGAAATTTAGGATTGCGCATGCTTTTACAAAGGCTATGGTGCAGTCAACATTTGTGCCAAGTTTGATCAGTATTGAAGCAATTCTTTTTGGAACTCAACCAATAACAATATGCATGAGTATAGATTTACACAGTGTACAGGTAGTTAATACTCATTTGCTATTTTTTTTTACAAGAAATGACATATTCAACGAACTAATATACTAACAAACAATTATGCTGACGTTTTTATCAATTGACCAATGTAAGGTGGAAAACCTTTAGCCCTATGACATGTGATAATAGTTCAACCTGGGTTGGCTAGAACTACCTTTTTGTTGAACAAATTTGCCCAGGCCCTCCGAGTTCGAGTGAACAAAGTTTGACTGGATGTTACTTCTCAAGTAGGAACTCCACTGAGGTATTTTGACATGACAAGATTGGAAATAATTTTTTTTGATTAATGTTCCATTTGATGTAGTTTTAGACCAATTGCTTGTGTGCAAATACTAGATCATTAGCTCAGTTTTTCCAGAATACTGTATAAGTGGAAAATTTTGGGACGTGGAAATATTTGCGATTTTTGCGAATTGAAATTATTCACAAATATTTAATCACGCAAACATTAATTTTTGTTTAGGCAAACTTTCTTCTATCATTTGAAAACGCGTTTTTGTACCGCATCTTACATGAATGTGTTTGACTGTTCAGGCACTGAGATTAATTTTTATTATTGCTTGTTTGTTTAAGTTTGGTCTTGGTCACAAATATATGAGTTAATAACACTATAGATTGTTCATACAACAAAAGAATGTTTCAAAATATGCCAAACAAATATGAGATCAGGTCCTTTATCAAACTAACAATATCAATCTGTGTATTCTAAACAATTATATAAATAACAAGAACTGTCGGAGGACAGTAACGCTCGACTATTCGAAAAGTTGTCATAAGGGTGTTTCATAGAGTATAATTATGCTTACCTATATGAATACATAAAATTGTCCAAAAAGGTATTAAGATGTTGTATCGTGTAAATCACTGCTTTATTATTATTATGAATGCATAAAATTGTCCCTGAAAAGGCATAAACCCTTCAGTAGTTATGTAGGGACCAGCTTACAAGTAAAACCTTTACCAAGCATTTCTAAGTCTAAAAAGGGACATAATTATGAAAAAACAAATCAAGAGTTATGGGACTTGTGCCAATCATGTAAGGTAATCAGAGAGAACAAGTGTGTGAAGTTTCAATCCATTCCCTTTAGTAGTTATGGAGATACCAGCTTACACACAAAAACTTAACCAAGAATTTCTAAGTCAAAAAATGGGCAAACATATGCAAAAAACAAATCAGAGTTATGGGACTGGTGCCAATCATCTAAGATAATCACAGAGAACAAGTGTGTGAAGTTTCAAGTCATTCCCTTCAGTAGTTATTGAGATACTTTCTTACACGCAAAAACTTAACCACAGGGACGCCTACAAATGGGTGACTGCATTTGCTCGATTATTCTGCGAATAGTCGAGCTAATAAAGTGTTTAACAACTGAATAGAACGATTACTATAACGGCATATTCCAAACATGTACTTGCTTTATTAATGAAATCAGAAAAACAGTATTAAATTCAAGAAGTCATATTTTCGCAAATATTTCCGCAGGGAAAAAGTCTACTTTTTGACATTCGCAAAATTTTTGTTATGCATAAATATCCACTTATACAGTAATTATATTGGTTGTGAAAAGGCTTTTCACTCAAATTGGTCTAAGAAAAGCTCATAGAAAATTTTTTTCAAGTGCCCCAGCTGATGTATGTAAATAATCAAGAGTTCCTTTAAGCTGAATTGTCTGCTTTCCTATGCCTGGACTAGTTGCCTTCAGTATTGCAAGGAACTGAAACTTCTGTACATACCAGAGCAGAGGTACAGTGCGAATGACCGTAGAAAAGTGACCTTTGCCGTCCGGGAATTGAACCCGAGTCACCCTATTCAACTATTGAGCTAACCTGACAGCATCATCTGAATTTTTGTTTTGTGATTGAAGGGAAAGAACTCTAAAACATCTTGAAAAAATATGATAATGAGGTTCTAGCCCTTGATCTTCTGTGATATCTTCTTATATAACTACTTGAACATAAAGGAGGTTTGTTTTACTCAATTAACTGTACAGCAGATGCAGTATTTTATAATTGAGTGATATAGGTGATTTAGTCTACAGCTAGTTATCAACAGTGACATACAATTTGAACTTAAATGTGAAACAAACAAAATTCTAGTCAAGATTTTTATTGTTTTTATCTAAACTTTTCTTTGGAAAAAAAAAGTATTTTTATAGTAATGTCAGCGTTGCCGTCCACAAAATTATCTGTTGATCATAACTTTTGAAGTTCTTGGTGTATTGTCTTCATACCTGGCCACAACAACCCTTGGGACAATATAACAACCCTTGGGACAATACCTTTTAGTAGAGTAGAGTAACCTTGACCTTCAACCACAAATGACTTTGACCTTCAAGGTTAAATGTCTAAATTTTGCTTGTTTTCCCTAATTTTTGCTATGGCTATAACTTTGTTATTTTTGAATGGATTGTCTTCAAACTTGAACATAGTAATCTTTTAGGATAGACCTTTAAGTTGATCAAACAGACTTTGACCTTTACTCAAAAATGACCTTGAACTTCAAGGTCAAATGCCAAAATTTTGCTTGTTTCTTGCTTTTTGTGGCTATAAATTTATTTTTGAATGGACTGTCTTCAAACTTAAACATAATAGTCTTTAAAGATAGCCCTTTAAGTTAACAAGACAGACCTTGACCTTCACTCATATATGACCTTGACCTTGAAGGTCAAATTAATGAAATTTTCATTTTTTTGCTGTAACTGGCTGTAACTTTGTTATTATTGAATGGATTGACTTCATATTATAACAGAACATTTTTTTAGGATGAGACCTTAATGTATATCAAACTCAAATTGACCTTGGCCTTATTATGACCTTGACCTTGAAGGCTAAATTATTGAATTTTCACTAATTTTTGCATTAATTGACTGTAACTTGGTAATTTAGAGATGGAGTAACTTCATACTTTGACAAAAGAACATGTTGGACAATACCTTCTTAAAGGTTGAACTCACCTTTAGCTTTAAATGACATTAAGGTCAAACTATTAACTTTTGTGTTAGTTGGTCATACTTCTTTGTTTGCTTGTGTCGAGCATTGCCCCCATCTGGCGGTGGCTCTTGTTACGTATTTAAGCTGACATCTTGTAACTTTCCCCATTATGTCATAAAACATAACTTCAAAATGTAAATGATAGAAAATGATTCAATAAGATTTCTACATTTGCAGTAATAACATACTTTGATAAGGTACAGTAGAGTGTATTTCTGCTGAGATTTCTAGTCATTTGTGATTTATATTGTGTATTGAAATATAGTTTAATGGTCTGAAATTATATTTCCTAATTTCTCAGTTACATAATCAGTTATAAGTTATCGGTTTAAAAGAAATGTAATTGATAAAATTTACATAAATAATCTACATCTGTATCCTGTACCATGCTATCACCTTGTCTTTAAACTAACAGAATAGGGTATATTCAAACTAGGAAAAAATAGAAGTGTTCAGGCACATCGTACAATTTTACCTCAGCCATGTATTTTTGTTCTTCTACCAAAAGCATGAATTAATTTTGTATATAGTTAATGTTTTTATAATGAAGATTGTTGAAGCAAGAAATAATGGATCTAAAGAAGGAAGCATCTCAGCACAGAATGGATCAAGCTGATCTAAGGAGAGATATTCAGCGGTAATTATACTTCTGGACAACTATAGTCATATAGGAATTTAGTTAATCACCCCAAAATATACGTATGCTTATACTTACTATGTACATCACTTAATGAGGACAAAGGGTGACTCCTTGTGTGGTCTGTGATTAGAAACATTTCAATAAATGCTAATGACAAAACTGTTTTGATTATATGGAACAGTTGAATACATATAAAGTTAAAAAGGATATTAAATATGATATGATTTATATATAGTATGCAATTATTGTATGTAGATGATATGAATAAACTTGTTTATTTTACATAATGTTTTGAGTGGTCGGCTATTACCCTTCTTACATAAAGCAATAAATGATTGGTTTCTTTTAAAAGATGGTTAATTTAAAGCACCACTTTATGACATACTTTATTTACATCAATGTCACCTAGAGTCAAGGTCAGTGTTACCTTCTATTGACTGCCATGTGACCACATCTCAACTAATCTTACCATGGGAAAATTGTTAGTCATATAATAAAAATGTTTATTCTTTATTCAGGTTAAGAAGAGAGCTTGAAGAAGAGAAATCAATAAACAAAATGAGGGCTAACAAATCTCCTCAACAAAAAGCTGTCACTATCAAACCAGCTGTAAAATCTCGCAGGAAATCTAATAGGGCTAAAAATAATAACTTCAACCATAATGCAAGCAAAAAGGTAAGAAATCAGTAATTTATAGAATATAAAGATAAATTATTCTAAATTGGTGTTTCTTATTATGCCACCGCAATGTCTGTGATGAGGTGGCATATAGTGATTCACCTGTGTGTGTATATGTTGTGAAAAACCACTTGTCCAATTTCAACCAAACTTGGTAGGATTGTTCCTTGGGTGAAAGGCTTCCAAAGTTGTTCAAAGATTTTGATTCCATGCAGAAAGGAATTAAAAGAAAATTTTTAAAAAATCTTCTTTTAAAAGACCCAAACAGCCTAGAGCTTAGATATTTTGCATAAGGTATTGTTTGGTAGACTTCTACCAAGATTGTTCAAATTATAGCCCTGGGGTCAAAATTGGCCCAGCCTCAGGGGTCATTGATTTTCACTATGTACATATAGTAAAAACTTTAAAAAAATCTTCTTGTCTGAAGGTACAAGGCTTAAAGCTTTGATATTTGGTATATGATATCATCTATAGGTTCTCCACCAATGTTGTTCAAATTTAGCCTCTAGTGTCAAAATTGGCCCAGCCGCAGGGTTTTCCTTATGTGTATATAATAAAAACTTAAAAAAAATTCTTCTCTGAATTTACAAAGGCTAGAGGTTAGATATTTGGCATGAAACATGGACATCTACCAAGATTGTTCAAATTATAGCCTTGGGGTCAAAATTGGCCCTGCCTCGGGGTCATTGATTTTCATTATGCACATATAAAAACTTAAAAAATCTTCTTGTGTGAAAGGAAACAACTTGCATTGGAATGCCTCATACATGTTAGGCAATTTGTATGTAAAATATTCAGTAGCTGGGAGTAAGTTTTAAAAGTAATGATTTTCAGAAATATTTATGAAATGATTCAGGTCATGAACTCTTCAAGACAGTTGTGAGCTTTGTAGAGATATTAAATGAAACCATTTGAGCACATTATAAGAACATTATGATTCACACCATGTATATAATAATGACAGGCTGTCAACCAATTCCTATATTCCTATAAAACTCCTATATTTTGGGTCGGAATCCTATATTTTAAAAAACCTCCTATTTTTCCTATATTCTCCTATATTTTGAATATTTTTCCTATATTTTTTTAAAAAATAATTGCCGAGAAATTCAAAGAGATTTAAATTTTGTTACATATTTGTGCATATTTAAAAATGATCATTATGAAGCTGTTGTAACACAATCTTAATTAAAAACATGTATAAATAGTTGTCTAAAATTAATGTACAATTTGTTTACTCACAACTCTTTTATTTAAATCTGCATAATATGAAAACAACATTGTAAAGTACTGAAAGGGTTAACGTAGACTTTGAAAAATTAATTCTTTCCCTCATACCTATTTAACTTTTTTGATGTCTTTGTAGGAGAAATTGCTTATTTTTCCAAAAAGTTATCAATTTCATTCCATTCTTGTCCTTTCATTTGTATGGTACAATTTAGGAATAGGCAGACTTATATAATTAATCGCACTTAAAAATAATTTGGCAGTTCAGTAATATAAAGCTCATTTCCAATTACAATGTACACACATTTTGCAATTATGTGATCTAGATAAACTGCAATTGAATGGTCTGTGTGATGAACTTTTTTGATGTGCAATTCTTTGTGTTGATTATAGATGCTTCCCATTTATTCAAATGACTGTACTAAGGCAAATGCCTTTTTACTTCCTACTTGTACAAAAAATTTCATTTGTCCATATTCAAAAGCTGCATTGTGCAAGAATTTCACTGTATAAGAATTCCTTTTAGACACTTGTGGTTATAACATTCCCAAAACATAGGTAGAACATGTTCTTTTTGACATGTTCAGCCATTTTAAAAAATATGGTTTGAACATGATTTGACTATGACCATTTCCGCAGGGGAGGGAGTTGACCAGTGAGTCCACACTGGTAGCACCTTTGCTCTAACTAAACTAGAGCATTATTTTCTGAGTTACTTTTGTGTCAAATATGCAAAGGTTAGCCCACATCATGGTCCTTTGGGACCTTAGTTTATTTAGTTATAAAATTGCAAATTCTAGCCCTAAAATTTCTATTACATACCCTAACATTCCTAATTTTAGCCCTAAAATTTCTGAAATATTACCCTAAAATTCGCCCTAATTTTATGTCGGAAGGTGCTGGACCGCCTGCTAATGGTGTCCTTCACTTGTACGGTAGACATTTTTATTGTAGAAACAGCATGTGTAAAAGTAAGAATAATTTACATTTATATAAGCATTGGTAAGTTAAACAATTTAAGTTGAAAACTCCTATTTTTTGCCTCAAAATGGTCCAAAAACTCCTATATTTTCTGCTAAAATATTCCTATGTTCCTCCTTTATTTTGGATAAGACCTAGTTGACAGCCTGTAATGATTATGTTTTTAGAAATTGGTAATGCATTTTGAATAGATGCTATTAAAGAAAAAGTTACTGTATTTCAAATACAGCTATGTTATACAGTCAATACATTTTTGTGTCGCCTCTACGGAGAAGTGGCGACATATAAGGATCACTTCTCCGTTGTCTGTCTGTCCGTCCGTCCGTCCATCTGTCCGTCACAAAACTTGTCCGGACTACTCCTTATAAACTACTGGTGCAATTTCATCCAAACTTTACAGGAATGATCCGTACCAAGTCTAGTTGTGCATATTGTCAGCATTTTCCGGTTCAATGATTTTTGTCAGAGTTATTGCCCTTTAATAATTTTTATGCCCCCAGGCATATAGTGATTGAACAGTCCACCGTCCGTCCGTCTGTCCGTACGAGGTTAACCTAGAACGGCAAGTTGGATTTTTCTTAAGTTCTACCTGTACCAATGGCCTCTAAGTTTACACACTTACTAATCAATACAAAGTACATGATCTGGGCAAGTTACATAACTCTGGCTTTCATATTTACCAAGTTATTGCCCTTTTCAGCACTTAGAAAATGAATAATGGTTAACCTAAAACAGCAAGTTGGAAATTTCTTAAGTTCTATCTTTACTAATGGCTTTATAATTTCCACACTTACTTATCAATACAAAGTACATGATATTGCTAAGTTATATAACTGTGTCATCCATATTTCCCAGTTATTTCCCTTTTTTCACTTTGAAAATAGGGCCTTGTCTGGTTAACCTATTTCGGCAAGTTGGATTTATCCTAAATTTCTCCTAATTGCTTAATTTCTTTAATGATATCTTTCATATTTAGTAGGTGGATACCTTTGATGGCCCTCTAATTTTTTGTGGAGTAAGTGGTCTCTAGGGTCAAGGTCACTGGTTTAAAAAATAAATATAAACATTTTTGCTCATACAGCCTTTATATTTTATGTGATGTCTTAGTTTAATTTAAACATGCTAAGGGAGGTCCTCCTTCTTTGGGTGTAGTAAGGGGTCATTTGGGTCAAGGTCAATGTTACCAATGTCAAGGTCACCAATGTTAAAAATAGATTTTTACATTTTTACAGGTGTATTGACCTTATTCTATAGACAGATGTTATTTATAATTGATAGAAACATAAACTTTGATGGAGTTAGTGGTCAGTTGGGTCAAGGTCACCAGTGCTAAAAATAGATTTTTACACATTTGCTCATACAGCCTTTATTAAGTGACAGATATATTTTATATTTGGTAGGAAGATAACTTGCATGGTATTCATCCTTTTGATTGGGGTAGGGATCAGGGGGTCAAGGTCACTTGTGCTAAAAATAGATTTTTACACTTTTGCCTGTACAGCTTTTATTTATTGACAGATGTATTTCATATTTGGTAGGAAGATAACTTGCATGGCATTCTTCCTTTGGATGGAGTAAGGGGTCAGTTGGGTCAAGGTCACCAGTGCTAAAAATAGATTTTTACACTTTTGCCCATACAGCCTTTATTTATTGACAGATGTATTTCATATTTGGTAGGAAGATATCTTACATGGTATTCTTCTTTTAGATAGAGTTAGGGGTCAGTTTGGTTAAGGTCACCAGTGCTCAAAATAGATTTTTACACTTTTGCCCTTTATTTAATGACAGATGTATTTCATATTTGGTAGGAAGATAACTTGCATGAAGTTGAATATTTTTCAACTTAACAAGTCAGAGCAATGACTTGGCAACTTATATTTTTTCACAATTACAAAATGCCATGACTTTGTCAAGCTATATAACTTGTGTTTACAATTTTTTGGCAATTTTTCTGTCCATAACTGAGTGAATGGGTAAACATTTTTTGAAATATTGCTACTGACAAGAATCTGAGCCGGGGGCATTTGTGTTTAACAAACACGTTCTTGTTATTTTTAAAGTTTGTCCAGACTACTTCTCTTATACCACTTATGCAATTTCAATGAAACTTTACAGGATTGATCTGTAGCTCAAGTCCTTGCGCATATTGCATGGGTTTTCCGGTTGAATGATTTTTGGCCGAGTTATGGCCCTTTGATAAAAAGGTGTTTTTTTCTGTGTGTTGCCAGATACACAAAAGCTTGTCCGGACTACTCCTCATAAACTACTGGTGCAATTTCATCCAAACTTTACAGGAATGATCAGTACCAAGTCTAGCTGTGAATATTGTCAGCATTTTTCTGGTTCAATGATTTTTGTCAGAGTTATGGCCCTTTAATAATTTTTATTTTTAAAGTTTGTCCGGACTACTTCTCTTATACCACTTATGCAATTTCAATGAAACTTTACAGGATTGATCTGTAGCTCAAGTCCTTGTGCATATTTCACGGGTTTTCCGGTTGAATGATTTTTGGCCGAGTAATGGCCCTTTGATAAAAAGGTGTTTTTTTCTGTGTGTTGCCAGATACACAAAAGCTTGTCCGGACTACTCCTCATAAACTACTGGTGCAATTTTATCCAAACTTTACAGGAATGATCAGTACCAAGTCTAGTTGTGCACTGTCCATCTGTCTGTCCGTCTGTCACAAAACTTGTCCCAACATGAAATTGGCCATCATGAGGCGACACATGTGATCACTGATCGCTCTTGTTTTTGTCAATAAACATTCTTTTTCTGAATCAATTATTGCACTATGGCCTATGTATCTTAACATTAGACACATCTTCACATGTTTTTAATGATTTGAATTGCTGAAATATGACCTTGACCCCCAAATTCACTTGACACTACTGCATTATGGCAAAGTTCAATTGTAAAGTAACCAAGAAATCAGCTTCTGTTATATTAGTGCGGTGGCATAGCATATTTTCACAAATGCATTCTTGTTTATCTTTGTCCTTGCTCATGAAAAAACTTCAATTTTACTAATAGCTGATTATTAAGGAAAAAATCAACATATTCTTTTTGATTGGATTGAATAAATCACTTTTATCTACATGTTGTAAGACATCAAGTTATTTCTATAAGTTATACTTTTGCTAGCAAGTATATATTTTGTTTTCTAGTTTGAAGAGTTGATTGAAGAAGGTTGGGAAGAGATGACTGGAGATTCTGACACAGAAGAGTTAGTATATATTTATAAATATATTTATTTGAATAACTTCATTTCATTGTTATCATGCCTGTTTCTATTCACATTTTGAATATATCAAGGCTCAATGTTTTGTTGCTCTTTTTTAGCTCAATAGAGAATAACATGTACAGTCGACTCCACTTATAACGAACTCACTTATAACGAATTATCGTTAATAGCGAACTAAATCTGACATCCACGGCCGATTCCTTCTTTTTTTATGCCCCCAGGCATTTAGTATTTGAACTGTCCCTCTGTCCATCCGTCCGTCTGTCCGTACGAGGTTAACCTAGAACGGCAAGTTGGATTTTTAGCTCACCTGTCACAAAGTGACAGGGTGAGCTTTTGTGATCGCTTTTCGTCCGTCGTCCGTCCGTTGTCCGTCCGTAAACTTTTACTTTAAATGACATCTCCTCGTAAACCACTAAGCCAATTTCATCCAAACTTCACAGGAATGTTCCTTTGGTGGTCACCTTTAAAAATTGTTCAAAGAATTTAATTTCATGCAAAACTCTGGTTGCCATGGCAACCAAAAGAAAAAACTTTAAATATCTTCTTCTAAAAAACCCAAAGAGCTAGAGCTTAGATATTTGGCAAGAAACATCTTCTAGTGAGTGTCTACCAAGTTTGTTCAAATAAAAGCCATGTGTTCAAAATTGGCCCCGCCCCAGGGGGTCATTGATTTTCCCTATATGAATATAGTAAAAACTTAAAAAATCTTCTTTTAAAGAACCCAAAGAGCTAGAGCTAAGATATTTAGCATGAAACATGTTCTAATGGATGTCTACCACGTTTGTTCAAATAAAAGCCCTGGGGTCAAAATTGGCCCCACCCCAGGGGGTCATTGATTTTTCCTATATGCATATAGTAAAAACTTAAAAATTTTCTTTTACATGTTCTAATGGATGTCTATCAAGTTTGTTCAAATAAGAGCCCTGGGGTCAAAATAGGCCCCGCCCCGGGGGTCATTGATTTTCCTTATATGCGTATAGCAAAGACTTAAAAAATCTGCTTTGAAAAAAAACAAATAGCTAGAGTTTAGATACTAAGCATGAAACATCTTCTAGTGAGTGTCTACAAAGTTTGTTCAAATAAAAGCCCTGGGGTCAAAATTGGCCTGCCCCGGGGGTCATTTATTTTCCTTTTATGTGTATAGCAATCTTAAAAAATCTTCTTTGAAAAAACTCAAATAGCTAGAGCTTAGATATTTAGCATGACACATGTTCTAATGGATGTCTACCAAGTTTGTTCAAATAAGAGCTCTGGGGTCAAAATTGGCCCTGCCCCGGGGGTCATTGATTTTCTTTATAATTATGTGTATAGCAAAAACTTCAAAATCTTCTTTGAAAAAACCCGAATAGCTAGAGTTAAGATATTAAGCATGAAACATTTTCTAGTAAGTGTCTACAAAGTTTGTTCAAATAAAAGCCCTGGGGTCAAAACTTGCCCTGCCCAAGGGGTCTCATTGTTTTTTACTATATGTGTAAAGAAAAAACTCAACGAGCTAGACCTTAGATGTTTAGCATGAAACATCTTCTAATGGGTGTCTACCATGTTTGTTCAAATTAAAACCCTGGAGTTTTAAACTGGCCCCGCTCTGGGGGCCTATATACAGGTGAGCGACTTTAGAGCCATCATGGCCCTCTTGTTCTTAAGTTCTACCTGTAGTAATGGCTTCATAATTTACACACTTACTAATCCATACAAAGATCTGGGCAAGTTACATAACTATGGCTTCCATTTGTACCAAGTTATGGCCCTTTTCAGCACTTAAAAAATGAATAATGGTTAACCTGAACCGGCAAGTTGGAAATATCTTATGTTCTATCTGAACTAATGGCTTAATAATTTTCACACTTACTTGGTTTAAACATATTTTATTCTTTCTCACATAAGCATATTTACATACATGATATTTACAATCAAAACAAGAAAAGGATTAGACTGGAAGCAACCTAATGCTTATTGAAGTCTTTTCCCACTTACTTATCAATACAATGTACATGATATTGCCAAGTTATATAAATGTGCCATCAATTTTCCCAGTAATTTCCCTTTTTATCACTTTGAAAATAGGGCCTTGTATGGTTAACCTATTCTGCCAAGTTGGATTTATTTTAAAAAATTTCACCTAATTACTTAATTTATTTAATGATATCTTTCATATTTGGTAGGTGGATACCTTTAAGGGTCCTCTAATTTTTTGTGGCGTTAGGTGTCTCTAGGTCAAGGTCAAGGTCACTTGTGTAAAAAAATAAATCTAAACATTTCTGCTCATACAGCCTTTATTTTTAAGTTAATGTCTTTCATGTTTATAATAGTCATACCAAGGGAGGTCGTCTTCCTTTTCCTTTAGTAAGGGGTCATTTGGATCAAGGCCACCAATGTCAAAAATAGATTTTTTACACTTTTACAGGTGTATTAACCTTATCTATCGACAGATGTCTTGTATATTTTGTAGGAACATAAAATTGAGGTATTCTCATTTGGATGGAGGTAGGGGTCAGTTGGGTCAAGGTCACCAGTGCTAAAAATAGATTTTTACACTTTTGCTCATACAGCCTTTATTTATTGACAGATTTGTATTAAAATTGGTAGGAAGATAACTTACATCGTATTCTTCCTTTGGATGGAGTTAGGGGTCAGTTGGGTCAAGGTCAACATTGCTAAAAATAGATTTTTACACTTTTGCCCATACAACCATTTTATATTGACAGATTTATTTCATATTTGGTAGGGAAATAAGTTGCATGATATTCTTCCTTTGGATGGAGTTAGGGGTCAGTTGGGTCAAGGTCACCAGTGCTCAAAATAGATTTTTTACACTTTTGCCCATACAGCCTTTATTTTAAACATTGTTACTGACAAGAATCTGAGCCGGGAGCATTTGTGTTTAACAAACACGTTCTTGTTTTGGCTTTTATGTACAGACTTGAAATTTGGACCATTTTGTGTCATTTTTGATGTTGAATTCAATTTTGATACCAGCTGAACTACTTTTGGTTTTATTGACACCATTTGACCTACTTTCTTGTATTTTGACATTCAGATTTTAAATTTGGACCAGGTTTTTAAATTCTGATGCCGAAATGAATTTTGATATCAACTGACCTATTATTGATATTTTTGATATAATTTGACCTTCATTCTTGTGTTTTTTGACATACAGACTTGAAATTTGGACTTGGGGTGTAATTTCTGATGCTGAATTGAATTTTGATATTAACTGGCCTACTTTTCATATTTTTACAATGTTTGACCTATTGTCTTTTTTGAGGTACAGTTATGTTACCATACAGAATGTATGAAAAATTTGTTGTCCCAAACTGTAAACTTCAAACATCTACACCTTACATGTTGCATGTGACATTTTGTGTTTTCATTAAAAAAAGTTATATAAAAAATTTGTCCAGTCAAAATTAATCCTGCTCTAGTGGTCATTTATTCTGCATTTATTATACATAGTCTCATAGGAACACATTTGCAACATACATATTTTTAACAAAGCCTTTCCAAAATATTAGGGCAAAATATTTCAATTTATATAGTGAATAATGAAATGATGGGTTAGATGAGTGATCTAGGGCCATCTTAGTGGCCCTATTGTTTATTATGAAGAAAAAAAGCTAAAACAATCAGTGTTGTGAAAGTATATTACTAGAGGGGCAAGTTAAAGTTGAGCTGAACTTGCCGAAAGAGCTGGACTTGCCTTTCAGCAAGTTCTTTTGAAAAATAATTTCCAACACTAAAAAGCAGTTGAATCTGGTTGAGCGACTCAGGGCCATCATGGCCCTCTTATTTATCATAACTTTTCATTTGTTATTATAATCAAAGATATTAGAGCATTAGTTGTAATTATAGTGATACAGTTTGGTATGTTTATATAAAATAAGATATCCCATCAAAAACTATTTATTTGACATGAGACATAAACATTATATCATGAACCAGATTTTCATATATATCAATAAGCTATACTGCTGCTTATTGATTTGATAAATTATACAGAGTCCAAGTTTTATATTGCATTAATTTTGTCTTCAAATTGATGAAATGTGAAGTGATATTCACAGAGATTTATAGTGAACAACTTTGCATATTTTAAAATTAGTACAATATCATTTAATGTAACTTTAAATCTAAATATTTCACATTTGAGACGTGTCATGACAAAACCAACATAATGGGTTTGCGACCAGCATGGATCCAGACCAGCCTGCCCATCCGCGCAGTCTCATCAGGATCCATGCTGTTCGCTTACAAACTCTATAACCAGTATAGAAATAGATAGCAAACAGCATGGATCCTGATTAGACTGCTCGGATGTGCAGGCTGGTCTGGATCCATGCTGGTCACAAACCCATTATGTTGGTTTTGTCATGACACGGCTCATTTTAAGAGTTCTTTAAAACATAAACTGGTTTTCATTATTTTAGGGGCACAGACAATCTGGGTCGAAAAATTGTTCAGAGTGCACAGCATGGTCAAGGTGACAGTACAACCCCAGACTCAAGCATGGAATCTCCACAATATAGAATGAGCAGGGTATATAAAGTTATATAGAGACTGGAATGGATTAAACTTGTTTTAAGCTCCAATTTGGCTGGAAAAGGGATGTTATTCTACTCACCAATGTTTCAATATTATTGTTACATTAGGTTTTGTTGTGAATATATATGTAACAACATAACACATATTAACCATCTCAAAGGTTTGAACATGAAACTTAAACACATGCCTTTTGGATGTCATCATTGCAGGTCACTGTCCAAAGCTCATAATTATAGTATGGATGTTAGATAAAATACTCCCTTTTGTGATATCCCACATCATCCAGGTCCTTGTTTAACTTGTTTAAAACATTTCTAATCATGGTGTACCCTGTCCGACTCGCAGGTCTTGTTATGGTTTTCACTTCTGGTAAAATCAATAAGATGAGGGCTTGCTTAATCATAAGAAAAATTAATGATAATATTTCAGCGTTTAAATGATGTTTTTATGCCCCCGAAGGGAGGCATAATATAATCACACTGTCAATCTAATCGTCAGTCTGTCCCACTCCATTCATGTCCGGACTGTAACTTTGTCATACATTGAGGGATTTTGAAATAACTTGGCACAAATGTCTACCACATCAAGACGATGTGTCGCATCCAGGAACCACGTCCCTACCTCAAAGGTCAAGGTCACACTATCATTTTGAAGTTTCACATTATCCCAATTAGAGTAAATAGCTACACACATTTGTGTCCTGACTGTAACTTTGTCATGCATAGATCGATTTTAAAATAACTAGACATAAATGTTAACTACATAAAGATGATATGTGGCGTCCAAGAATTACGTCTGTACTTCATAGGTGAAGGTCACACTAACATTTTGAAGTTTCACATTATCACAATTTGAATTAATAGGTACACACAATTGTGTCTGGGCTAGAAAAATTAATGATAATATTCAGCGTTTAAATGATGTTTTTATGCCCCCGAAGGGAGGCATAATATAATCGCACCGTCTGTCCCACTTCATGCGTGTCAGGACTGTAACTTGCATGGAAGGATTTTAGAATAACTTGGTATAAATGTGAATAACATCAAGAGGATGTGTTGCGTCCAATAATCACATCCCTACTTCAAAGGTCAAGATCACACTACCATTTTGAAGTTCACTTTATCACAATTAGAGTTTATAGGTACAAACATTCCTGTCTGGGCTGTATCTTTGTCATGCATCGAAGGATTTTATAATAACTAGGCATAAATGTCTACCACATAACTTAACACAAATGTCTACCACATCAAGACAATGTGTCGCATCTAAGGCTCATGTCTGTCTGTCCGTCTGTCCCTAGTCACACTTACACAACAATCATGTCCAGACTGTAACTCTGTCATGCATTGAGGGATTTTGAAATAATTTGGCACAAATGTCTATCTCATAACAACATTTTGTCGCATCCAGGAACCACGTCCCTTCTTCAAACGTCAAGGGCACAATTATATTTTGAAGGTTCATGCTATCACAATTAGAGATTACAGGTACAATAATACAAAGAAAAATATTCAGCAATTAGTTACTTTCATTTTCTTTTCTTTTCATAACACCCGCATGCTTAAGAAACATTTTTGGGGGCATTCGTCACTTGGGTGACAGCTCTTGTTTTTTCTTAATGTAGTTATTACAGGCCTAACACTTTCATGTTAGCTAAGTTTTTTGTTCAGAATTTGTATTATTATAAGATTTAAAGCTGATTAAGAAATATAGAAATTTTACTTCAGTATTTTTTTCCAGACTGTTCCAATGAAGCAGACACATAGAGCAAAACATGCTACTGCAAAACATATTGAAAGATTTCAGGAGTTACCTCCCCCTGCTCGACATACTGAAGCACGTGCTAATAGAGGTATAGATAAATAATTCCAGGTTTACATAAAAATATCAGTAATAAAAGTGATGTTGCCTTTTACAACATTTATAAATCCAGAAATAGAGGGTATACATCTATATTTTTGTGAAGTATTTGAAACTAGATTTATATTCAATGCTACATGAAGACAATCATTTAGACCCAGGAGAATAGTTGAGCTATTTTTCTCACCTTTGTGTCAACATTGGCTTAACATTAACCAAGGTTTTGTATGGAACTTCATATCTCATCACTGGTAAATTAACTATATTATCTGGATCATATTTCAAGGTCCCTGTCCGAGAACTTTTATTTTGGCTGAATTATTACCTATGTGAACTGAAAAATAGTTATGTGTAAAAACCACAGAAGATATTCTTTGAATCTTCACACTAAGTCTTATCTGATTGGTACCATAAATCTAGCATAGAAATTTAGTTAAATTTTATATCCTTTTGCAACTAAAACACTTTTGTTACATCTTTTTTCAGTGAAGGTATTACCGGTATTTTGAAATATCACATGACTTTATTAGTTGGTTGCTTACACCAAGATACACATCTCACGGAATTATTACCTTTCCTGAATGTAAAACATTTTAGTTAAAGTATTTACCAATGATGCTTTACTTTACTTCAAAATCTATTGTACCTATGATTTGGCACAATTTTATGGGCATTGTTTCATTGTAGAAATATAGGTATCAAACTAATATGTTATATTTTGTTTCATTTATTAGCTCCTGCTGCCATGTATAAAGATATTGCCACATCCCCTATAGCATGTTCACCTGTTAGAGAATCTACAGGTCAGAGAAAATCTCCTGCTTACAAAGCTATTGTTAGACAGTTACAACCAATGAAACAAAGAGTTGGCTATCTCCAACAACAGGTTTTTTATTTGATTTATTTCTTGTCTGTAAATTTCTTTTTTTTATAATAGTTTTTAGCTCGACTATTCGAAGAATATGAGAGCTATTGTAGTCGCCCCAGCGTCGGCATCCGCGTCGGCGTCTGTGTTGGTTAAAGTTTTTTGTAAATTCAAATATCTCAATTATTGCTTGAGATATTCAATTGAAACTTACAATACTTATTTATAGTAACAATGTACATCAGATTGACAAGTTGGATAACTCTGCCTACAATATTTACAGAATTATGCCCCTTTTTAACTTAGAAATTTTGGTTAAAGTTTTTTGTAAAGTCAAATATCTCAATTATTGCTTGAGATATTCAATTGAAACTTACAATACTTATTTATAGTAACAATGTACATCAGATTGACAAGTTGGATAACTCTGCCTATAATATTTACAGAATTATGCCCCTTTACAACTTAGAAATTTTGGTTAAAGTTTTTTTGTAAAGTCAAATATCTCAATTATTGCTTGAGATATTGAATTGAAATTTACAGTACTTTTTTATAGTAACAATGTACATCAGTTTGCAAAATTGCATAACTCTGCCTGCAATATTTGCAGAATTATTTGTCCCTTTGAAACTTAGAAATTTTGGTAAATGGTTAAAGGTCCTTGAAACTTTACACATGTACTTAGGGTCATAATTGGAGAGTCATAATTGTATGTCACTGACCAAGTTCCATAACTCTACTCGCATTTAGGCTGATTCATCTCCCCTTTTCTACTTAGTCTCTTGGTTAATGTTTACATGCAAGTTTTACATATCTCAATAACTATTAAAGATATTTATTTAAAACTTCACATATGCATTTAGGATCATAATTGTAGGTCACTGACCAAGATCCATAATTCTATCTTGCATTTAGGCTGATTTTTCTCCCCCTTTTCAACTTAAAAATTCATGGTAAAGTTTTGCTTGTAAGCTGTTATCTCCATAACTACTGAAGAGTTTGTGCCTTTTTGGGGACATTTTTATGCATTCATAATAATAAAGCAGTGATTTACTTGATAAAACATCTTAATACAAGCCTTTGTACCTTTTCGGTCAATTGTATGTATTCATAGTTAATTAGCATTATTATACTCAATAAAACACCCTTGTGACAACTTTTTGAATAGTAGAGCCAATACTGTCCTCCGACAGTTCTTGTCATTTGATGTTCCTACTGTTTACATGATCTACTTAGGAAACTGGCTAAGTTATAAAAAAAAACATTATTTTATTGACAGCTGTCGAATTCAATTTTGATTGTATAAATGATTGAGAATTGCAGCAAGTTGTAAAATGAAGTAACAACAGTTCTATGTGATTTTTGATGACACAAAGTGTCATCAGTGTTGAAGCCAAATAGACAACATGCTTTCCAAAACATCTACCCAATTTGTTGAGATGTATTTTATATACATACAGTTAAACTTCTTTCACTCGAACTCAGATTGCTCAAATACCTCCCTTCCCTCGAACTCATTGCCCCGTCACAGCAAAATTCCTTTATAATATATATTGTTCTACCTCGGAAGGCTCGAACACTGATCGCCCGAACTCTCAAAGCTGATATCTGGTCCCTTCGGCAGAAATATAGTGAAAATCACATCTTTTTGGTTGAACACAAAATGACAACAAAGCTACGGGTCAAAATGTTCTAAAAAAGTGTCAGCCGGCTACACATGTTTTTAACATCTCGTGATCGTAATAAAGGCAATTAAGGTTAATTGATACAAAATTAGAGGTGATGTAACTGATTTGTTTATGATAATATTGTTTATTTGCCGTCTTTGATAACAATTAAAAGAAAATAACTCTTGAAATAAGTCAATAAAAAGTTGCGTTTATCTGGTGACGTTAAACTGGAAGGCTTTAATTACAGCCGTGGTGCATGTAATGTGAATTGTAAAAGTGTGATCGGTTATCTATAGACTGATAATTGTATGTGTGTTTTTTAGCTCGACTTTTTTTTTTTTGAAAAAAAAAGTAGAGGTATTGTTATAGTCGGGTCGGCGTTGCCGTTGCCGTCCGCAAACTTGTACCTGGATCATAACTTTTTTATTTCTTGGTGTATTGTCTTCATACTTGGCCACAACAACCCTTGGGACAAGACCTTTTAGTAGACCACACTAACCTTGACCTTCATCCATAAATGACCTTGACCTTCAAGGTTAAAAGTCCAATTTTTGCTTGTTCATGCTGTTATTGGCTGTAACTTTGTTATTTTTGAATGGATTGTCTTCAAACTTGAACATAATAATCTTCAAGGATATCCCTTAAAAATAACCTGCCAGACCTTGACCTTCACTCATAAATGACCTTGACTTTGAAGGTCAAATTATTGAAATTTTCATTTTTTTGGCTATTATTGGCTGTAACTTTGTTATTTTTGAATGGATTGTCTTCAAACTTGAACATAATTATCTTCAGGGATATCCCTTAAAAATAACTAGACAGACCTTGACCTTCACTCATAAATGACCTTGACTTTGAAGGTCAAATTATTGAAATATTCATTTTTTTTGGCTATTATTGGCTGTAACTTTGTTATTTTTGAATGGATTGTCTTGAAACTTGAACATAATAATCTTCAAAGATAACTGTTAAAAATATACCGAAAGACCTTGACCTTCACTCATTAATGACATTGTCTTTGAAGGTCAAATTATTGAAATTTTCATTGTTTTGGCGGTAACTGACTGTAACTTTGCTATTATTGAAGGGATCAACTTCATATTATAACAGAACATTCTTAAGGACCAGACCTTGTTGTTTATCAAACCCAAATTTGCTTGGGCTCTTTAATGACCTTGACCTTGAAGGTTAAATTACTGAATTTTCTCAGATTTGTGCATTAAATGACCATAATTATATATTTATTGGTGTGTGTGTATATATATATATTTACAACAACAACAAAAACAACAACAACAAGAATTGCGTAATGTTTCTATTCTATTTATAGAATTGCGTCATTGTTTCTATTTATAGAATTGCGTCATTGTTTCTATTTATAGAATTGCGTCATTGTTTCTATTATAGAAATTGCGTCATTGTTGCTATTTTTAGAAATTGCGTCATTGTTTCTATTTATAGAAATTGGTCATTGTTGCTATTTATAGAAATTGCGTCATTGTTGCTATTTATAGAAATTGCGTCATTGTTTCTATTTTTAGAAATTGCGTCATTGTTGCTATTTTTAGAAATTGTGTCATTGTTTCTATTTATAGAAATTGCGTCATTGTTGCTATTTTTAGAAATTGCGTCAGTGTTTCTATTTTTAGAAATTGCGTCATGTTGCTATTTTTAGAAATTGCGTAATGTTGCTATTTTTAGAAATTGCGTAATGTTGCTATTTTTATGAATTGCGTAATGTTTCTATTCATATATATATACAAAATATATAAACAAAACTAATGTGACAAGACAGACCAACTAAATTTATAAAAAGGAAACGTTAAGATATGTTCAAACCTTTCTATGTTTGCGTTTAGAAAAAGTAAAAAGTCAAGCGTTGCCCCCGCCCGGCGGTGGCTCTTGTTGTAAATGACTACAAATAAATGCTGTTGTTAAATTTTGTTTATTTATTTATTTACTTTTTTTTATGCCCCCGGGCATTTAGTGATTGAACCGTCCGTCCGTCTGTCCGTACGAGGTTAACCTTGAACGGCAAGTTGGATTTTTCTAAAGTTCTACCTGTACTAATGGCTTCTAAGTTTACACACTTACTAATCAATACAAAGTACATGATCTTGGCAAGTTACATAACTCTGGCTTTCATATTTACCAAGTTATTGCCCTTTTCAGCACTTAGAAAATGAATATTGGTTAACCTAAAACGGCAAGTTGGAAATATCTTAAGTTCTATCTATACTAATGGCTTTATAATTTCCACACTTACTTATCAATACAAAGTACATGATATTGCCAAGTTATATAACTGTGTCATCCATATTTCCCAGTTATTTCCCTTTTTTCACTTTGAAAATAGGGCCTTGTCTGGTTAACCTATTTCAGCAAGTTGGATTGATCTTAAATTTCTCCTAATTGCTTAATTTCTTTAATGATATCTTTCATATTTAGTAGGTGGATACCTTTGATGGTCCTCTAATTTTTTGTGGAGTAAGCGGTCTCTAGGGTCAAGGTCAAGGTCACTGGTTTAAAAAATAAATATAAACATTTTTGCTCATACAGCCTTTATATTTTATGTGATGTCTTAGTTTAATACAAACATGCTAAGGGTCCTCCTTCTTTGGGTGTAGTAAGGGGTCATTTGGGTCAAGGTCAATGTTACCAATGTCAAGGTCACCAATGTTAAAAATAGATTTTTACAGGTGTATTGACCTTATTCTATAGACAGATGTTATTTATAATTGATAGAAATATATACTTTGTTGGAGTTAGTGGTCAGTTGGGTCAAGGTCACTTGTGCTATAAATAGATTTTTACACTTTTGCCCATACAGCTTTTATTTATTGACAGATGTATTTCATATTTGGTAGGAAGATAACTTACATAGAATTCTTCCTTTTGATGGAGTAAGGGGTCAGTTGGGTCAAGGTCACCAGTGCTAAAAATAGATTTTGACACTTTTGCCCATACAGCCTTTATTTATTGACAGATGTATTTCATATTTGGTAGGAAGATAACTTACATGGTATTCTTCTTTTTGATAGAGTTAGGGGTCAATTGGTTAAGGTCACCAGTGCTAAAAATAGATTTTTACACTTTTGCCCATACAGCCTTTATTTATTGACAGATGTATTTCATATTTGATAGGAAGATAACTTACATGGTAATCTTCTTTTGGATATAGTTAGGGGTCAGTTCGGTCAAGGTCACCAGTACTCAAAATAGATTTTTACACTTTTGCCCATACAGCCTTTATTTAATGACAGATGTATTTCATATTTGGTAGGAAGATAACTTGCATGAAGTTGAATATTTTTCAACTTTACAAGTCAGAGCAATGAATAGGCAACTTATATTTTTCACAATTACAAAATGCCATGACTTTGTCAAGCTATATAACTTGTGTTTACAATTTTATGGCATTTTTTCTGTCCATTACTGAGTGAATGTGTAAACATTTTTTGAAATATTGCTACTGACAAGAATCTGAGCCGGGGGCATTTCTGTTTAACAAACACGTTCTTGTTTTTAATATTTTATTTATCCATTGTTTAAAAATAAAATTTATCCCATAATAGACAGATAAATATATTTTGAACAAGTTAGGTAAATGATTGCCCAATCAAACTCGACCAATTACAATATGCATGAATATAGATTAACACAATGTACCGTTTATACTCATTTAAAAACACTGGGGTAATAATTCCTGATATTTAAAAGAAATTACATATTCGACAAACAGACATACTAGCAAACAATTATAATGACGTATTTATCATTTGACTGATGTAAGCTGGAAAACAGTTATGCCTATGTCCTACGTGGAAATAGTTCAACCTCGTTTGGCTCGAATTACAGATCTCTCAACCACATTTGAACAGGCCCTCCGAGTTCGAGCGAACGAAGTTCGACTGTATATTAAGGCAGCAAAATGTGTACTCAGTTTATAGAGATGTATTTTATATACATACATTAGGGCAGCAAAATATGCACTCAATTTATAGAGATGTATTTTAAATACATACATAAGAGCAGCAAAATATGTACTCAATTTATAGAGATGTATAATATATACATATATATTAAGGCGGCAAAATATGTACTCAATTTATAGAGATGTATTTTATATACATATATTCGGGCAGAAAATATGTACATGATTTATAGAGATGTATTTTATATACATACATTAAGGCAGCAAAATGTGTACTCAGTTTATAGAGATGTACTTTATATACATACATTTGGGCAATTTATAGAGATGTATTTTATATACATACATTAGGGCAGCAAAATATACACTCAATTTATAGAGATGTATTTTAAATACATACATAAGAGCAGCAAAATATGTACCCAATTTATAGAGATGTATTTTATATACATATATTAAGGCAGCAAAATATGCACTCAATTTATAGAGATGTATTTTAAATACATACATAAGAGCAGCAAAATATGTACTCAATTTATAGAGATGTATTTTATATACATACATTAGGGCAGAAAATATGTACTCAATTTATAGAGATGTATTTTATATATATACATAAGGGCAGCAAAATATGTACTCAGTTTATAGAGATGTATTTAATATACATATTTAAGAGCAGCAAAATGTGTACTCAATTTATAGAGATGTATTTTATATCCATAATTATATAAGGGCAGCAAAATATGTACTCAATTTATAGAGATGTATAATATATACATACATAAGGGCAGCAAAATATGTACTCTGTTTATAGAGATGTATTTAATATACATATTAATGAGCAGCAAAATGTGTACTTAATTTATAGAGATGTATTTTATATCCATAATTATATAAGGGCAGCAAAATATGTACTCAATTTATAGAGATGTATTTTATATACATAAATAAGGGCAGCAAACATGTACTCAATTTTTAGAGATGTATTTTATATACATATATAAGGGCAGTAAAATGTGTACTCAATTTATAGAGATGTATTTTATATACATAAATAAGGGCAGCAAACATGTACTCAATTTATAGAGATGTATTTTATATACATACATTTGGGCAGCAAAATATGTACTCTGTTTATAGAGATGTATTTTATATACATATATAAGGGCAGTAAAATGTGTACTCAATTTATAGAGATGTATTTTATATACATATATAAGGGCAGCAAAATGTGTACTCAATTTATAGAGATGTATTTTATATACATATATAAGGGCAGCAAAATGTGTACTCAATTTATAGAGATGTATTTTATATACATAAATAAGGGCAGCAAAATGTGTACTCAATTTATAGAGATGTATTTTATATACATAAATAAGGGCAGCAAACATGTACTCAAATTATAGAGATGTTTTTTATATACATACATTAGCGCAGCAAACATGTACTTAATTTATAGAGATGTATTTTATTGATTAGGTACTTACATTACGAGAGTCTAGGGCAGCTGCTTTAAAACAGGTTGATGAACTTAAAGAGTCGAACACACAACTTCAGGCTGACCTTACACTAGCTAACCAAAGACAGAGGGTTTCCAAACAAAGTATTCAGGTGAGCATATATTGTAGATATATTTCTTTGCTCCTCTTTATAATGTACAACTTGCTCAATGTGTGTGTGTGTTTATGTTTTTATATGTGTGTGTGCGTGTGTGTTTGCGTGTGTGTACATGGGTGTGTGTTGAGTTGCTGAATTTTAACTTAAAAATTACTTATATAACAAAATTAATACTTTTTCTTGTATACAGCAGCCGGAGCTTATCAATGAAACAAATAATTTTAGTTATTAATTGTTTTGTGAACAAAATTGTATCTACCTATTATGATTAATGCACTTAAAGGTCTTCTTCCATTACAGCTGAAATATGCTGAAATCTGTGTAAAAAAATGAGGCAAACAAATACTGTTGAAATATTAGCCATTTTAGCTTTACCTTTTCCCCCATGAGCATATTGTGAAAAATGGCCATTTTCATTGAAAAGCCTCCTCTTACAAGTTCTTACAAGTTCAAACTGCTATGAAACTATGAAAAATGCTTCAATACTAATCAAACTTGGCACAAATGTTGACTGGACCATTGCCTTTGTAACGACATGCTCAGTCTTAAATTTCCTGTTACCATGGCAATGAGGGGACATCTCAAAATTGCCAAAAATCACTATTTTGCCTCGATTTTTTCCATCAAAATTTATTTCAAAGTGCTGCAACTTCTGAAGGGATTGAGATAGAGTCAAAGGCTTTTCAGCGTTGGTTACACGTTACCTTATGATCGACCTGGGGTCATTTTAAGCCTCTCACAAGTCCAAAATTTTCTTGGCCATGAGGGGGATGTGCCCCCCTTCAAACCCCCCAAACAGAAGGGGGCACATCCCCTTCTGGCAACCCCCTGATGTATCTTCTGGATGGGGGGCGGCGCCGAAAAAGTGCTCACTGTTTTTAGCAACATTTCTCAAACGAAAACATGTGTTTGGGGCCCAAATAGGACATATTTTCACTATTTCAGGCCTTAAAAAAAGGGGGGGGGTTCAAAGTGCGTTATTTCGCGTATATACATGTATGAGGTAATGGGTTAATAATGTTGTTGTTACTGAAAATCCTTTCAAACAAACAAACATACACATAATGTTTTGTATAGAAGAGATATTAAAGAATTGGTAAGTCAAAATACAAATTAGTAAACTGTAAGTTTATTTATTTATGAGCATGGACATTAGTGATTGATAAAATCCTGTTTATTTTATGATACATGCATATTTGATTTATTTTCCGTGTACAGAAGTTGAACAATGACCTGGACAAGATGCATCAAGATAAGAAAGAAATTGAAGTAAAACTGACCCAGAAAATGGACAACATAGAGACCGGACATTCAGAACATGATTGGAAAATACTGGATGCTAGACTCAAGGTAAATAGTTACCAAGTATAGGGAAATACAATATATACATTTTTAGGTTTTTATACAGTTTGTAAAATATCAAAATATTAGAGGAAATGTGTAGTATATATATATATATCTTATAGTGTTTGTGTAATGTCTTGTGACTATAATTCCTTTTGTATTTTCAAGATTTCTTAATTTGATCTTGTCAAATTAATTTGCAAATGTCAGCAATTATGTTAAATATTTTGTTTATTAAAAAAAAATCAATTTTTACTATGACTTAAGTGTGCTTATTTTTTTTATTGTAAATTAGTGTTGTTTTTTTTGTACTATCTAATGTAATTAAAGTGCTTCTGCTGATAGCTTATGGCACTTTAAGTCACTCTTTAAATTAAATTCAGTCACAATAATAGATATGTAAGAAAATATAACCTTGATAAAATTTTGAATATATAAGATTTTCTTTAATTTTGTTTGTCTGCAGTTATGTTGCTCAAATTGTAAACTATAGTTTACATTAATACATACGTATGTGAATATTAAAAAATTATTGTTGTAGAAAGATTTTGAATATATAAGATTTTCTTTAATTTTGTATGTCTGCAGTTATGTTGATCAAATTATAAACAATAATTTACATATGTATGTGAATATTAAAAAAACTATTGTTGAAGAAATTTATGTGTCTAGGACTTGTAAATGGGTTGTCTGCAAATAAACACAATTTAACTGCAAATTAGCACACTTAATTTGCTATAATTTATTTAATATTATGAAAGAATACAATTATGTTAACAGAGTTGCAGTAATGAGTTGTCAAGACAGAATAATGTAGTTCGACAATTGAAGCAAGAAAATGAACAACTTACAGATCAAGTGAAAATTTTACACGACAAGTAAGTAAAATATCAAATAATTAAAATATATTAAAATAGATTTGAATAACAAAAGTGATTATAGTCTGTCCCATTAAAAATGGAAAAAAACTTCAGCCTGATATGAATTAGCAAAACAAGGTTGAATAAAATTTAACCATTTTTTGTAAACAAAAAAAAGTCACCCTTCAGATTTTTCAGGATTTTTCTCTAAAGTGTCTACTTTTCTTGTAAAAGAAAAGAATGATGTCTATACGGCAAGTCTCTGTTGTTTATTTTCCGTAGCCATTGCCAAAGTACTCTTCATTTGAAGATGAATGGGGAAAAAGCATGTGTCCTGATTCTAAAATGTACAAGAAATTCTCGGGGTCATTTCATGATTATTTTACAAATTTGGATCTACAAGATGTAACAGGTTAGTTTCAATGACTGATGCAAAACTTTAAAAAAAAGCAACAAGAACATCGAGTCTCATGGCTTAGAAATTGCACTTACTTATAAGCGGAATAGAATCCCTATGAATTTAGTAAGAGACCTTTATAAACGTCATGACAGATTCACATTCGAAAGATTCCTTCATTGCCAGTTTCTATCCACAGTTCAGTAAATCCCATTTTGGGCTTTAAAACTGCTGAATGACTTGATGACTCCTAATAGAGTCCTAAACTTATGAACTATGATCCAGATTTTTATAATCTTCCATTTAACAAATGAAATATGTAAATGAAACACATCATAATTCAGTATGTTCCATTTCCATAATTCAAGAACGGCCCATCAATTTCAGTTGTGTATATCATAATAATTATATAAATCTTTTGTATGTTAGAATTTATAAAGCGGTTACTAATGTTTCACTTCAAATGATTTTAATTGTTTTATACAATGGTTTGCTAGTAAAATTGTCGTTTTGAAACCAATTTTGTTCTCACTTTTCATTAAAATAATGATAACATTTAGCTATTGATCAGTAAGTAAATAAGAATAATCAAATTTTTATTATTGTCAAGTACATTTCATGCTTATTGTGAGATGAACCCTAAATGGCATCAGTATGGGGGCTGCCATTTTGAAATGGACGTCAGGTTACTTGAAAAAAATGTAATTTTAACTATATTACTGACTTTTTAAAAAAATAAACATGCCTAGATATATTGACGTCAGGGTTAACATGACATAAATTTAAATGATTGTACTATTATATTTAACAAAAAATGGAATATTCAAATTTGGTGGAAGAGCCTATAGTTATGAGTTACAATATGTTACTTTAACAGAGTGAGTAATGATATAAGGTAAATGAGGAGTTACAATATATTACCTGTTACAGAGCAAATATTGATATATAAGGTAAATGAGGAGTTACAATATATTACCTGTTACAGAGTGAATATTGATATATAAGGTAAAAGAGGAGTTACAATATATTACCTGTTACAGAGCAAATATTGATATATAAGGTAAAAGAGGAGTTACAATATATTACCTGTTACAGAGCAAATATTGATATATAAGGTAAATGAGGAGTTACAATATATTACCTGTTACAGAGTGAATATTGATATATATGGTAAATGAGGAGTTACAATATATTACCTGTTACAGAGTGAATATTGATATATAAGGTAAATGAGGAGTTACAATATATTACCTGTTACAGAGTGAATATTGATATATAAGGTAAATGAGGAGTTACAATATATTACCTAGTACAGAGCAAATATTGATATATAAGGTAAATGAGGAGTTACAATATATTACCTGTTACAGAGCAAATATTGATATATAAGGTTAATGAGGAGTTACAATATATTACCTGTTACAGAGTGAATATTGATATATAAGGTAAATGAGGAGTTACAATATATTACCTGTTACAGAGCAAATATTGATATATAAGGTAAATGAGGAGTTACAATATATTACCTAGTACAGAGCAAATATTGATATATAAGGTAAATGAGGAGTTACAATATATTACCTGTTACAGAGCAAATATTGATATATAAGGTAAATGAGGAGTTACAATATATTACCTGTTACAGAGCAAATATTGATATATAAGGTAAATGAGGAGTTACAATATATTACCTGTTGATATATAAGGTAAATGAGGAGTTACAATATATTACCTGTTACAGAGTGAGTATTGATATATAAGGTAAATGAGGAGTTACAATATATTACCTGTTACAGAGTGAATAGAGCAGAGAGAGACAGCAGTCAGAAGAGAACCTTGTTAGAGGACCAGAGGTCAAGGGTCAAACAAGCTTTAGAAAGTGCGAAAGCTGATGCAGATTCTCTTGTAAGTAACAAGTAGATTTTGTACTATAAACATACATTGTTATTGTTTTGCTTTTTCCATTAGTTATAGAACATGTAACCTATATACATGTATAACCAGTGTCATATTTATGATGTAGTCTGCACATGGGTGATGATGAGCAAGTTATAATTATCACAATTTTTCATTGGCATTGTACAAACAGAGAAAAGAGCATAGGTATAATGTGTGTTTTACATTTGTGAGTCACAGATGGGAAAACTTTTTTTATGAAGTAAAATAAAAGATATTGTTTTCTGCAATGTCATGATGCTGTTACAATAAATAAAAACAAAAACTAAAGAAGGTACTATTGCATGTTAGTTGTTTTATCTACACACTTTGTATGACAAGCAAATTTTGTTAAAGGAATCTGAAATGGGAACCTTACATTTGGAGACCTTTGTGGCTGATTAGCTTGGACAAAATTATTCATTATTTAAAGGAAAAGTTCAAAATATGTACTGACTAAATAAGGAAACAGTACAGACCATGATTAAGCAGAGTTGTATATTTTATATGGGAATTTATGTGTCAACATGGTAGAATAATAAACTACAACTCCTGGCGTAGGTTCATCAATTTAATTGTAGTATATACGAAGAAAAAGCAACAAAATCTCAATAAAGAATGAAAGGAACTTAATAAAAAGATATTTCCTATCAAAAATTATATTAGATATACAAATAGAATTTATGTATTGAGTAGACGCAGTATAATCTCTCATAAGAGAATAAAGATCAAGTGATCTGGAGAAGGTAAGTTCGTGGGAATTTGGAAGAAAGGAAATGTTAAAAACCAATGTAAAACTTTCTCTCAAATCTCTTTCATACAACATACAACAAGATTTGACATACAAAAACAGTTCACAAAATTGCACGAGGTACACACATGGTTGAATTGTCTTTGACATTTCTGTGAATTTCCACTAATAAGCATACGTTACGGAACCATCCGATACAATACAATAGGAGACAATAACAGACACCATGGAGACAAACGACAATTTACGCATGCACGGACATTAAGTATACTTTTCCTGCAGCTAATTGATGAACAGTGCACGGCAAAATGAACAATTAATATAACAAATAAATCGACCTGTGTCATTCTCCTCTGCTAGGAGAAAAATGGCTCCTGACATTTTATTAACATATAAAACAGTTGTCTCAAAACTGCTGTACATATTATAATTAAAAAATAAAAAAACGGAACAAAATTTATTTTGCATTATAAAAATCGGAAGTGCTTTTGAAAATAACATGTTTCTATAACATGTGTAACATATGAATTTATAGAACAGTAGTACAATGCTTAAATATAAATCAGTTTTATATGAAACATTGCTGATACATTTAAAGGTTCAACTGGCAACTAAATATATGTAACTCTAGCTTAAAAATAAAGGTATTTACCTAAAATAATTAATTTAAAAGTATAGGAAATAAAGGGTCATTGTATAAGCTCAGTTTGATGTTGGCTAAATACTGCTGAAAATAAAGGTATGAGCTCAGTTTAACTGAATTTTAAGGTTTGAACTAAATTTATCTGAAATTAAAGGTAAACCCTTAGTTTAACTGAAATTATACCTTAAATTTCGAGTGTAAGACAAAAGCCCTCCCGGAAAAAGCCCTCCTGTCCAAAAATGTCAAGGCAGACAAAAGCTCTCCCGTGAAAATGACAGGGCGGACAAGAGTCCTCCTGTGAAAGTAACAAGGCAGACAAAAGCCCTCACGGAACAAAAACATATAAGTATGTTAAATATCTGTGTTTTTAGCTCACCTGAGCAATGCTCAGGGTGAGCTATTGTGATGGCCCTGTGTCCGTCGTGCGTCGTTTCACATAAACAACATCTCCTCTGAAACCAATGACTGCACATCAACCAAACTTTACAGAAATGATCCTTGGGTGGTCCCCTTTCAAAGTTGTTCAAATGGTTCCGGTCTGTTGCATATGTAGGTCATAGGGCCAGAAAAGGATTTCAAAAAACACAAAATTAAATAATCTTCTTGTCTGAAAGTACATGGGCCAGAGCTTTGATTTTTGGTATATGGTATCATCTATGGGTCCTCTACCAAAGTTGTTCAAATTTTGTCCCTAGTCAGTAGTGTCAAAATTGGCCCTGCCCCGGGGGGGTCATAGGTTTTTCCTTATATGTATATAGTAAAATCTAAAAAAATCTTCTTCTCTGATTTAGCAAAGGCTACAGATTAGATATTTGACATGAAACATTGTGTGGTAGACCTCTATCAAGATTGTTCAAATAATGGCCCTAGGGTCAAAATTGGCCCCGCCCCGGGGGGTCATTGATTTTCATTACATACAAAATATTATAGTGAAAACTTGAAAATCTTCTGGTCTGAAAGTAAATGGCCTAGAGCTTTGATATTTGACTATGGTATCATCTGAAGGTCCAATACCAAAGTTGTACAAATTTTGTCCCTAGTGTCAAAATTGACCCGCCCTGGGGGGTCATAGGTTTTTCTAATATGTATATAGTAAAACATAAAAAAATCTTCTTCTCTGAATTGGCAAAGGCTACAGGTAAGATATTTGGCATGAAACATTGTGTGGTAGACCTCTACCAAGATTGTTCAAATAATGGCCCTCGGGTCAAAATTGGCCCCGCCCTCGGGGGTCATTGATTTCCATTATATACATATAGTGCAAACTTGAAAAATCTTCTGGTCTGAAAGTAAATGGCCTAGAGCTTTGATATTTGGTCTATGGTATCATCTATAGGTCCAAAACCAAAGTTGTTCAAATTTTGTTCCTAGAATTAAAATCAGCCCCGCCCTGGGGGGTCATAGGTTTTTCCTTATATGTATATTGTAAAACCTAAAAAAAATTTACTTTTCTGAATTTGTAAAGGCTACAGGTTAGATATTTGGCATGAAACAATGTTAAGTTGACCTCTACCAAGATTGTTCAAATAATGGCCCAGGGGTCAAAATTGGCCCTGCCCCGGGGGGTCATTGATTTTCATTATATACATATTGTGAAAACTTGAAAAATCTTCTTGTCTGAAAGTACATGGGCCAGAGCATTGATTTTTAACCAGGTTTTCCGAAGGAAAAAACTGGTTATTAGATTGAGGTATGTCGGCGGGCGGCGGGCGGCGGGCGGGCGTAAACAATTTCTTCTGTGCGCAACTCCTCCTACATTTCTCAACGGATTTTGACCAAACTTTCACAGAAGCTTTGTCATCAAGTGCCCTGGCGCATATTGTCGGGGTTTTGCGATTAGATAATATTTGACCTAATTATGGCCCTTTGTTTTTTTTCCTTATATAAAATATATAGTGAACAATTTCTTCTGTGCGCAACTCCTCCTACATTTCTCAACAGATTTTGACCAAACTTTCTCAGAAGCTTTGTCATCAAGTGCCCTGTCACATATTGCCAGGGTTTGCAATTGGTATATATTTGACCTAATTATGGCCCTTTGTTTTTTTTTCCTTATATAGAATATATAGTGAACAATTTCTTCTGTGCGCAACTCCTCCTACATTTCTCAACGGATTTTGATCAAACTTTCACAGAAGCTTTGTTATCAAGTGCCTGGCACATATTGTCGGGGTTTTGTGATTGGATAATATTTGACCGAATTATGGCCCTTTGTATATTTTTTCCTTATACAGAATATATAGAGAACAATTTCTTCTGTGCTCAACTCCTCCTACATTTCTCAACGGATTTTGACCAAACTTTCTTAGAAGCTTTGTTATCAAGTGCCTGGCACATATTGTCGGGGTTTTGTGATTGGATAATATTTGACCGAATTATGGCCCTTTGTATATTTTTTCCTTATACAGAATATATAGTGAACAATTTCTACAGTGCGCAACTTCTCCTACATTTCTCAATGGATTTTGACCAAACTTTCACAGAAGCTTTGTCATCAAGTGCCCTGGCGCTCACTAAATTCCCATGTTTCTTCCAAGACATCATTCAAGTATTTTTTTAAAATTGTGAACATACTTTTCTTGATATCGCACAAAACACCACACGCCAATATTGTTGACAAAAGAAAATGACAAGAGACGCAAAAATGCAAAAATTAAGCAAAAATAAAGTACTGTTTACCTTTCTAAAATATTTGGGGAAAAAAGGCGAATAGACAACATAAAATTTCTCAATCATTTTTGTTTGAGGAATATTAAAAAAGCCATAATTCCTCCTAAAAGTTCAATTAAAAACAAATGCCCCTTCATGACAAAGCTTCTGTGAAATATTTTGCTGAAAACCTGGTTGCATCGCATTGCGATGTTCCTTGTTGGTATATGGTATCATCGATGGGTCCTCTACCAAAGTTGTTCAAATTTTGTCCCTAGTGTCGAAATTGGCCCGGCCCCGGGGTCATAGGTTTTTCCTTATATGTATATAGTAAAAACTTGAAAAATCTTCTTGTCTGAAAGTAAATGGCCTAGAGCTTTGATTTTTGGTATATAATATCATCTATGGGTCCAATACCAAAGTTGTACAAATTTTGTCCCTAGTGTCAAAATTGACCCGCCCTGGGGGGTCATAGGTTTTTCTAATATGTATATAGTAAAACATAAAAAAATCTTCTTCTCTGAATTGGCAAAGGCTACAGGTAAGATATTTGGCATGAAACATTGTGTGGTAGACCTCTACCAAGATTGTTCAAATAATGGCCCTCGGGTCAAAATTGGCCCCGCCCTCGGGGGTCATTGATTTCCATTATATACATATAGTGAAAACTTGAAAAATCTTCTGGTCTGAAAGTAAATGGCCTAGAGCTTTGATATTTGGTCTATGGTATCATCTATAGGTCCAAAACCAAAGTTGTTCAAATTTTGTTCCTAGAATTAAAATCAGCCCCGCCCTGGGGGGTCATAGGTTTTTCCTTATATGTATATTGTAAAACCTAAAAAAAATTTACTTTTCTGAATTTGTAAAGGCTACAGGTTAGATATTTGGCATGAAACAATGTAAAGTTGACCTCTACCAAGATTGTTCAAATAATGGCCCAGGGGTCAAAATTGGCCCTGCCCCGGGGGGTCATTGATTTTCATTATATACATATTGTGAAAACTTGAAAAATCTTCTTGTCTGAAAGTAAATGGCCTAGAGCTTTGATTTTTGGTATATGGTATCATCTATGGGTCCTCTACCAAAGTTGTTCAAATTTTGTCCCTAGTGTCAAAATTGGCTCGGCCCGGGGGTCATAGGTTTTTCCTTATATGTATATAGTAAAATCTAAAAAAATCTTCTTCTCTGAATTGGCAAAGGCTACAGATTAGATATTTGGCATGAAACATTGTGTAGTAGACCTCTATCAAGATTGTTCAAATAATGGCCCTAGGGTCAAAATTGGCCCCGCCCCGGGGGGTCATTGATTTTCATTACATACATATAGTGAAAACTTGAAAAATCTTCTTGTCTGAAAGTAAATGGCCTAGAGCTTTGATATTTGGTCTATGGTATCATCTGAAGGTCCAATACCAAAGTTGTTCAAATTTTGTTCCTAGAATTAAATTCGGCCCCGCCCGGGGGGTCATTGATTTTCCCTATATGTATATAGTAAAAACATCTTCTTTTAAAGAACCCAAAGAGCTAGAGCTAAGATATTTAGCATGAAACATCTTCTAATGGGTGTCTACCAAGTTAGTTCAAATAAAAGCCCTGGGGTCAAAATTGGCCCCGCCCCAGGGGGTATTTGATTTTCCCTATGTGCATATGGTAAAAACTTATAAATTTTCTTTTAAAGAATGCAAAGGGCTAGAGCTAAGATATTTAGCATGAAACATGGATGTCTACCAAGTTCGTTCAAATAAGAGCCCTTGGGTCAAAATTGGCCCCGCCCCGGGGGTCATTCATTTTCCTTATACGTTTATAACAAAATCTTAAAAGATCTTTTTTGAAAAAAAAAAAAACAAATAGCTAGAGTTTAGATACTAAGCATGAAACATCTTCTAGTGAGTGTCTTCCAAGTTTGTTCAAATAAAAGCCCTGGGGTCAAAATTGGCCCCGTCCCGGGGGTCATTCATTTTCCTTATATATGTATGACAAAAACTTACAAAATCTTCTTTGAAAAAACTCAAATAGCTAGAGTTTAGATATTAAGCACGAAGCATCTTCTAGTGAGTGTCTACAAAGTTTGTTCAAATAAAAGCCCTGGGGTCAAAATTGGCCCCGTCCCAGGGGACATTGATTTTCCTTATATGTGTATAGCAAAAACTTAAAAATCTTCTTCGAAAAAACCTGAATAGCTAGAGTTCAGATATTAAGCATGAAACATTGTCTAGTAAGTGTCTACAAAGATTGTTCAAATAAAAGCCCTGGGATCAAAACTGGCCCTGCCCCAGGTGTGTCATTGTTTTTAACTATATGTGTAAAGAAAAAAACTTGAAAAAATCTTCTTTTAAAAAACCCAACAAGCTAGACCTTTGATGTTTAGCATGAAACATCTTCTAATGGGTGTCAACCAAGTTTGTTCAAATAAAAGCCCTGGGGTTTAAACTGGCCCCGCTCCGGGGGCCTATATACAGGTGAGCGACTTTGGGCCATCATGGCCCTCTTGTTTTCAATGCACTCAACATATCAAAATTGTAACATATATATTTGTTGTTGTTTTCAATTGGCCTTAGTATGTGTATGACCTAGAACCACCTTTCATTCAAAATATACCTTTCTGAAATGTTTAACGAGGTAACTTTTTACACAAATGTCGTTAAAAACAAACTCCGTTTTAAAAGTAATTAACTCATTACAAGGCACATTATAAATGTCTTGGACTTTTAATTTTAGTTAATTTAAACTTCTTTTCATCATTTATTACTTTATTAATCTTAACTTCATATGGGAATAACTATGCACTTACATATTTTAGCACTTATTATTTAGATGCCAGCCAGGAATGTGCTCAAGCTCACAAAAATACTCATGATTACAATTTTGATGTGTTGAGTGCATTGATAAGAAAATACAAACCATTCAACATACATATATGTATTTGCTGCAGGATGGCTATTTATCCGCCACATTATTTTCAAGGGAAGGCTTTTGTCCACCGAGTCATTTTTACGGGAGGGCTTTTGTCTTCCCCGTCATTTTCACCGGCGGGCTTTTGTCCGTCTTGTCATTTTTGGACAGGAGAGCTTTTGTCCATGAGGGCATTTGTCCTACACTCGAAATTAAAGGTATATTTAAAGATATTCGAAATAAATGCCAAAATACATATATATATATCTGGTACAACTGAATTCGAGATAGAGTTTTAACTATACCTGCAGAAATAAAGATATTATCAATATAATTGACTTTGTAAAGGAGCTAAAAACAAAACACTTTAATGATAATTCATAATCAACACTAAAAAATGTTTACACATTTAAATTGAGTCATTATTCAGAATAAATGTTAATTTAAGCTTTAAATGGGAAAAATACACATAAAATTGATTATGTTAATACAGTGATATTCTGCCATGCTACATTAAATAAATTTCACCATCTAACAACAGCAGTGATTGGTGTTACCCATTCTCCAACAAATTGGTTGTTACCTGTTGTTGAGACGTTCTACTAATATGCTTAATGGGTGAAATATTGTATAGTGGGACCTCTATTATTGTTACATTATTATCAAATAATACCATTTGAGCCGTGTCACGACAAAACCAACATAATGTGTTTGCGACCAGCATGGATCCAGACCAGCCTGCGCATCTGCGCAGTCTGATCAGGATCCATGCTGTTCGCTTACAAACCCTATAACAAGTAGAGAAACTGATAGCAAACAGCATGGATCCTGATTAGACTGCGTGGATGCGCAGTCTGGTCTGGATCCATGCTGGTCGCAAAGCCATTATGTTGGTTTTGTCATGACACGGCTCATTTATTGTAAGTCAAAATTGAACTACCAGTTTTATATTACAGGAACAACTTGAAACAAAGATGAAATTATTACAGGACACAAATGAAAAACAAAAGATACAGGTATGATAAAAAAAAAGATTATTTTCTTAATTCTTTCCTAGATAATTCATTTACATTATTGATTCTTCCTTCCTGAGGTTGGAATTATTGTATATGTGGAAGCAAGTTTAGGCGATTGATACAGTGCATAGACACGTATGTCTCATCTGATCATTTAAACACTACCATGGGATTTGCTGGTGTGATTTCTAATCAAAGCAAATGTTAATTTTGTATAAATCTTATATTTAAAAATTTATATACAGTGAAAGTTGAGAAAACAGGACGCGGAGAATATCTGAACTCTTAATACTGGACGATTTATTTAGTCCCAGAAATTCCCTTTATTAAACTATTGCATTAAACATTGACAATACCGAAATCTATAAAAAACGAAAATCAGACGTTTAAAATCATTATCCAGTACCCAAATGTAAACATATATGGATATAATCGGACTTTATAGTTATGAGGTAACTGCTGTACGTTTTAAATCCAACATGTTTATAGATGCAATAATGTAAAGAATGAAAAAACATGTTATTTTGTATTTTATCATTTCTTTATTTAGCAATATATGATCATAGAAATGCAAATATGCGGGCATCCGTAGTAAGTCATTGGTTGGTACATATGATCCTGAAGAAGGCATTTAGAAAACCGGACAAAAGCCGTCCAGTTTTCTCAACTTTCACTGTTGTATATAAAAATAACAATTGAATATGTGCTGTATTCAATTTATTGAAATGATGAGAATATATTATTTATAATGTAGATTGATTCTTACAAGAAAAGACTTGGAGCTGTAACTAGAGAGAAGAGAGAGTACGAAGACAGGTTTCTTAAACTTACTGCTGAACTCGAGAAAAAGGTACATAACTAATGTATAACTAGAATAAGTTATTAAGTTTTAGTAATTAACATCAGTTTAACCCATTACACGATATACAAGCCTTTTAACGCCTTTTTCACCCCCACCCCTCCCCTTTTTGTTGTCTCAAATGGTGAAAAAATGCCTTATTTAGACCCCGAACACTTGTTTTTGTTTGAGAAATGTTGTTAAAAAAAGTGACCACTTTTTGGCGCGGCCCCCCATCCAAAAGATACATCAGGGGGTTGCCAGAAGGGGGATGTGCCCCTTGTTTGAAGGGGGGGCAGAGTCCCCCTCATCGCCAAGAAAATTTTGGACTTGTGAGAGGCTATAAATGACCCCAGATTGATCATAAGGTAACGTGTAACCAACGCTGAAAAGCATTTGACTCCATCTCAATCCATTGAGAAGTTGCAGCACTTTAAAATCAATTTTGATGGAAAAAATCAACGCAAAATAGTGATTTTTGGCAATTTTGAGATGTCCCCTCGTTGCCATGGCAACAGAAAATTTAAGCCTGAGCATGTTGTTGCAAGGGCAGTGGTCCAGTCAACATTTGTGCCAAGTTTGGTTAGTGTTGAAGCAGTTTTTATAGTATTATAGCAATTTGAACTTGTAACGGTAGAGACTTTTTCAATGAAAACAGCCATTTTTCACAAAATGCCCATGAAGTAATGGGTTAATCAATAAATTTTTATATTTCCATGAACTTAGTGCTTTACAGCAAAGACATGATTCTTTTTAGCTTGTCGGTTTGAAGAAAAATTGGAGCTATTATGATCACAACATCATTGTCATCATGTAAAATCTTTAATGTAGCCCATTAGTCAAACATTTTAAAATTTATCAACATAAAACTTGAATACTTGCTTACTTTGACCAGGTGCAGCTATTACATAAGGTAGATAAGGGGCATAGTTCTTAATGCAATATTTTTGAAGTTATATCCCTTTTTAACTAAGATTTTTAGCTCACCTCAGCTAGCTGAGGGTGAGCTTTAAGAATCGTTGAATGTCCATCGTTCATCCACATTTGTTCATTAACACTCTAGTTTTTTGCCTCAATCATCATCAAACTTTGTCAGGATGCTTGTCTAGTTAATTGCTCTGTTGAGTTCGAACATGGGTCATCTCGAATGAAAAAATAGAAAAATCTTGTTAACTCTCTTGTGGCTACTGTTGTTATCCAAATATCCTGGAAATAGGTCTGTTAGTTTGTTTTGATGATTTTTGGGTCAAGTTTGAATATGGGTCACCTGAGGTCAAGAACTAGGTCACACTGCCCAAATATGGAAAACCTTGTTAACACTAGTGGTCACATTTTTGACTCAATTGTCATCAAACTTGGTCATGATGCTAGTCTTAAGTAATTGCTAGGATGAGTTTGATGTGTCAGGTGAGCGATCTAGGGCCATCTTGGCCTTCTTGTTTGTCCAAAGTGGTTATTTAACAGTTGTGCATTAACGCAGCATGTGTGTTCTTATTTTCATTCTTGTTGGTAGATCAGTTATCGCTATTGTTACTATACCTACTGTCTTAATGAAGTGACTAGATTGATCAGCAGGGTTAAGGCTCAGATTCATAAGTTTGAGTCTCGGACATGGCACTTGTTTTTGTTTGAAGGTTGAGAACAATACAAATATTACCAACCATTTTCAACTGCCATGTCATATGGGTAATGTGGATGAGTGTTACACGCTGGAAAAAAAAATACATGGAAGAAATTGTAAAATTTAAGACCACTTTAGATCTGATCATTTGGTAAATGCTTGCGATAATGTGTTAACTTGGTCGTAACCTAACTAGTGTTATAGTCAAGTCTTCTAAATAGTTATGTATATGTGTGTTTACAGAACAAAATAGTTGTAGACAGTCAGGTGAGGAAACAGGAGTTAGAGACTTCACTGTCAGAAATGGAGAAACTGGCAACTCAGCAGATGAAGAGTCTAGCTCGAGAGAGTGAAGAGGCCCTTGAGACTGCCAAAGAGAAACTACGTGAAATCCATGAAATACTACAGGCATACCAAAGATTTGTACGAGTATGTTATTCTGTTAAATTTTTCAAAACTTATTTTTAACATTATAAAAGGTTGTGTTTGAGGTAGTAAATTTAAAGGAATTTCACCTGTCAATTCTAGACTATATGTATAAACCTATCAATGAATGCTGCTCATTTAGTTTTCTTATTGTTTAAATTGTTGTTTCAAATTAAATACAAATACAGGAAGTTTTACATAAGGTTAACCAAGAGCACTACATAGGTGTGGCAATATACGCCCAAATGCAAATTTGTTTAAAGTGAATAATATTTAAAGTAATCAAAAATAATGTTTAAACAGAGGATACCCATTTATAACATTTGTCCGCAACATGTTTTATTTCAATTATCAATATTAAGATCTATATTGATACATGCCAAGGAGCTGTCCTCTTGTCACATGAGTACTTAGTGACAATTATATATGCCACAGCTTTCGCAGTGGAGTACTGACCCCAGACATGCCCTTAAAAAGCAGAGTGGTGATTATTTATCTCCATGCAATTGTTTTGGAGTAAATATACTCACTGAAAACAACAATAATGTTGGTTTTTAAATGATAAAAATCAAAGAAACAATAGATATATAGATAAATGATAAATACTTACAATACTTATTATGCCCCCATTTCGAAGAAAAGGGGGTATATTGCTTTGCACTTGTCGGTCCGTCGGTCCGTCGGTCCGTCGGTCCGTAGACCAAATGGTTTCCGAGTGATAACTAAAGAACCCTTAGGCCTAGGAACTTCAAACTTGGTATGGTGATTGGTCATGACCAGTAGATGACCCCTATTGATTTTGGGGTCAAGGGGTCAAAGGTCAAGGTCACATTGACCTTGAAAGCAAAAACGGTTTCCGATCAATAACTAAAGAACCTTAAGGCCTATGAACTTCAAACTTGAGATGGTGATTGGTCATGACCAGTAGATGACCCCTATTGATTTTGGGATCAAGGGGTCAAAGGTCAAGGTCACATTGACCTTGTAAGCAAAAACGGTTTCCGATCAATAACTAAAGAACCTTAAGGCCTAGGAACTTCAAACTTGGTATGGTGATTGGTCATGATCAGTAGATGACCCCTATTGATTTTGGGGTCAAGGGGTCAAAGGTCAAGGTCACATTGACCTTGTAAGCAAAAACGGTTTCCGATCAATAACTAAAGAACCTTAAGGCCTATGAACTTCAAACTTGGTATGGTGATTGGTCATGATCAGTAGATGACCCCTATTGATTTTGGGGTCAAGGGGTCAAAGGTCAAGGTCACATTGACCTTGTAGGTAAAAACGGTTTCCGATCAATAATGAAAGAACCCTTAGGCCTAGGGACTTCAAACTTGAGATGGTGATTGGTCATGACCAGTAGATGACCCCTATTGATTTTGGGGTCAAGGGGTCAAAGGTCAAGGTCACATTGACCTTGTAAGTAAAAACGGTTTCTGATCAATAACTCAAGAACGCTTAGGCCTAGGAACTTCAAACTTGGTATGGTGATTTGTCATGACCAGCAGATTACTCCTATTGATTTTGGGATCAAGGGATCAAAGGTCAAGGTCACAATGACCTTGTAAGTAAAAACGGTTTCTGATCAATAACTAAAGAACGCTTCGGCCTAGGAACTTCAAACTTGGCATGGTGATTGTTCATGACCAGCAGATGACCCCTATTGATTTTGGGGTCAAAGGTCAAGGTCACATTGACCTTGTATGTTAAAACGGTTTCCGATCAATAATAAGAGAACCCTTAGGCCTTGGAACTTCAAACTTGGCATGGTGATTGGTCAAGATCAGCAGATGACCCCTATTGATTTTGGGGTCAAGGGGTCAAAGGTCAAGGTCACATTGACCTTGTAGGTAAAAACGGTTTCTGATCAATTTACTAAAAACGCCTAGGCCTAGGAACTTCAAACTTTGTATGATGATTGGTCGTGACCAGCAGATGACCCCTATTGAGTTTTGGGTCAAGGGGTCAAAAGTCAAGGTCATGACCAGTAGATACTTTATAACCCTTATTAATTGTTTGATCACTGGGTCAGAAGTCATGCATAATAACCTTATCACATGACTAATTGGCTGCTGATAGGGGGCATACATGTTTTACAAACATATCTTGTTTATAGTAACAATGTACATCAGATTGACAAGTTGGATAACTCTGCCTACCATATTGACAGAATTATGCCCCCTTTGGAACTTAGAAATTTTGGTTAAAGTTTTTTTGTAAAGTCAAATATCTCAATTATTGCTTGAGATATTCAATTGAAATTTAAAATACTTATTTATAGTAACAATGTACATCAGTTTGCAAAATTGCATAACTCTGTCTGCAATGTTTGCAGAATTATTTGCCCCTTTGAAACTTAGAAACTTTGGTAAAAAGGTTAATGGTCTTCAAAGATATTTACTTTACACATGCACTTAGGGTCATAATTGGAGGGTCATAATTGTATGTCACTGACCAAGGTCCATAACTCTATCTTGCATTAAGGCTGATTCATATCCCCTTTTCTACTTTAAAATCTCTTGGTTAATGTTTACATGCAAGTTTTACATATCTCAATAACTATTAAAGATATTTATCTAAAACTTCACATATGCATTTAGGGTCATAATTGTAGGTCACTGACAAAGATCCATAATGCTATCTTGCATTTAGGCTGATTTTTCTCCCCTTTTTCAACTTAGAAATTCATGGTAAAGTTTTGCTTGTAAGCTGTTATCTCAATAACTACTGAAGGGTTTGCGCCTTTTTTGGGACAATTTTATGCATTCATAATAATAAAGCAGTGATTTACTTGATAAAACATCTTAATAACAAGCCTTTGTACCTTTTCTGTCAAATTTATGTATTCATAGGTAATTAGTATTATTATACTCAATAAAAAAAAAACTTGTGACATTACCTTCCGAATAGTCAAGCCAATTCTGTATAATTAGACTCTCTGTAAGGCCTATAACATGAATTTATAAAAAAAAATTAGCCCTTTTGTGAACTTAAAAAAATTTAACAATATCAAGGCTCTTTTACTATCAAGCACTTAGAATAGTCGAGCATGCTGTCCTACAGACAGCTCTTGTTATATAAGGACTTTGAATGAGTCAGTGTGACCTTGACCTGTAATAGTCCAAAACTGTGCTCTGCACATCATCTCAGTCATAAATAAATATATATATTACTGCCAAATAGATTTAATGTCATACCATCAGTTTAAAACAGAGCAGACACAAAATTTTGAAACTAATAAAAAATGACTTAGTGTGACCTTGACCAGAGAAAAGACAAACCTGCGCTCAGCACATCGTCTCATTATGGTTAACATTTCTACTAAGTAGTTTCATTTTCTTTCCACAGGTTCAAAAGATACAGACTGGAAATGAAAACTGCTATATAAATCTATATAAATCAATTAATCCTAGGGCCAATTTTGGTCTTAGGAAGTCCGAACTTGCGTTCTGCTCACCGTCTTAATATAAGTAATATTCCCGCCAAAAGTTTTAATTTCTTCCCTTCAGAGTGGACACAAAATTTTGATATTGATTCAAAATGACTAAGTGTGGCCTTGACCTGAGGAAGGTCAAACCTGCACATCATCTCATTATGTTGTAAACATTTCTGCCAAGAAGTTTTAATTTCCTTCCACCGGTTCAAAAGATACAGACTGGACAAAAAAACTCCTGTATAAGTCTATATCAATTAATTAATCCCCGGGGTGGGGCTAACTTTGATCATAAAAGTCTGAACTTGTGTTCTGCACACCATCTCAATATAAGTAATATTTCCGCTGAAGAGTTTTAATTTCTTTCTATCGGTTCAAAAGATACAGGGTGGACACAAAATCTTGATATTAAAACAAAATGACTTAGTGTGACCTTGACCCCAGAAAGGTCAAACCTGCGTTCTGCACACAGAAATTTTTTCGGGCGTATAACAATGTATTTTATTTTCATTTGTATTCTTCTCTGAAAATATTTGACCCACTCATGTAGAACATAATTTATTATTAGAGGAAATTCATGTAAAAAGTAACTTTGTTTTCTTAAAATACAATTTTGTTAAATTATTTCTATCATTTGTAAAACAAAATTGATTTAATTAAACCAGACTGTGAAATCTAATAAAGTTAAGCCATAATGAATATAATTAAACAAGTTTCACAGTATAACATGTTTTCATTTACTTATTTTATTATGCCCCACTTTTCGAAGAAAAGGGGGTATATTGCTTTGCACTTGTCGGTCCGTCGGTCCGTAGACCAAATGGTTTCCGAGTGATAACTAAAGAACCCTTAGGCCTAGGAACTTCAAACTTGGTATGGTGATTGGTCATGACCAGTAGATGACCCCTATTGATTTTGGGGTCAAGGGGTCAAAGGTCAAGGTCACATTGACCTTGTAAGCAAAAACGGTTTCCGATCAATAACTAAAGAACCTTAAGGCCTAGGAACTTCAATCGTGGTATGGTCATGACCAGTAGATGACCCCTATTGATTTTGGGGTCAAGGGGTCAAAGGTCAAGGTCACATTGACCTTGTAAGCAAAAATGGTTTCCGATCAATAACTAAAGAACCTTAAGGCCTAGGAACTTCAGACTTGGTATGGGGATTGGTCATGATCAGTAGATGATCCCTATTGATTTTGGGGTCAAGAGGTCAAAGGTCAAGGTCACATTGACCTTGTAAGCAAAAACGGTTTCTGATCAATAACTAAAGAACTTTAAGGCCTAGGAACTTCAAACTTGGTATGGTGATTGGTCATGATCAGTAGATGACCCCTATTGATTTTGGGGTCAAGGAGTCAAAGGTCAAGGTCACATTGACCTTGTAAGCAATAACAGTTTCCGATCAATAACTAAAGAACTTTTAGGCCTAGGAACTTCAAACTTGGTATGGTGATTGGTCATGACCAGCAGATGACCCCTATTGATTTTGGGGTTAAGGGGTCAAAGGTCAAGGTCACATTGACTTTGTAGGTAAAAACGGTTTCTGATCAATAACGAAAGAACCCTTAGGCCTAAGGACTTCAAACTTGATATGGTGATTGGTCATGATCAGTAGATGACCCCTATTGATTTTGGGGTCAAGGGGTCAAAGGTCAAGGTCACATTGACCTCTAAGGTAAAAACGGTTTCCGATCAATAACTAAAGAACCCTTAGGCCTAGGAACTTCAAACTTGGTATGGTGATTGGTCATGACCAGTAGATGACCCCTATTGATATTGGGGTTAAGGGGTCAAAGGGCAAGGTCACATTGACCTTGTAGGTAAAAATGCTTTCAAATCAATAACTTAAGAACCCTTTGGCCTAGGAACTTCAAACATGGTATGGTGATTGGTCATGACCAGCAGATGACCTATTGATTTTGGGGTCAAGGGGTCAAAGGTCAAGGTCACACTGACCTTGTATGTTAAAACGGTTTCCGATCAATTAACTAAAAACGCTTAGGCCTAGGAACTTCAAACTTTGTATGATGATTGGTGGTGACCAGCAGATGACCCCTATTGAGTTTTGGGTCAAAGGTTAAGGTCATGACCAGTAAATACTTGATAACCCTTATTAATTGTTTGATCACTGGGTCAGAAGTCATGCATAATAACCTTATCACATGACTAATTGGCTGCTGATAGGGGGCATACATGTTTTACAAACATATCTTGTTTTATTTAGAATTGAGCACAGGAGATAGTGAAAATTTTACAGTATAACATGTTTTCATTTACTTATTTAATTTTTTTTAGAATTGAGCACAGGAGATAGTGAAAATTTTACAGTATAACATATTTTCATTTACTTATTTAATTTTTTTAGAATTTAGCACAGGAGATAGTGAGACGCACTCAGCAGACAAGATTATCTGTGAAGGAACTGGAACACAAGAAATTAGCAACAGATAAATCGAATGCTTCTATGAAACGTGCCCAGAACCTTGCCAAAGATATACTTAACCTCAGTCAGTCTGACCTTGATGAGATTATGAGTGCTGATGGAGAGCATACTAAATTGGTACACTCCAGCCTTATTATATATCCCTTCAAATGCACTTGCTTATCTTTGTTCAATTCATAGAATTTTTTTTTTAATTTAATAAACTCTTGTCAACATTTATTTGCTAGACATTTTTTTATTAGTTATATTAGAATGTACACTTAGTTTACTATCAATTACATGTATTAATTGATTTTTAAAGCAGTTTCAGTAAAGTGTCAATCTTTTTGGGTTTTCTTTAGCAAGATTAAGAATGAGATTAGATTTATTTGTTTAATTGTATTCAATATAGAATATTCTTACATTTGAATTCATATCTCTCAAAGATGCAGACAAATCAGAAAAGAAATCTATGCATTATATTCTAATATGAAATTTACAGTAAGATAAAGGCAGTGAGAAAAAGAATTGATTTTCTTACACAATTATCAGACGCTGTATTTATAAAAAAAATAAGTTGAGGGTCACCCATGTGCAACTAAAACATTCTTATTTTAAAGGAATCAGAGCTTGAGTCAGAGAAAAGGAAAGATAAGAAATGGACCAAAAGAGTTGAAAGGACACAAAATAGCAAGGTATGAGATTAATACTTATTTTGTGTAAGCACTTAAAATAGAGACAAGTTTGAATTTCAATCAAAGTTAAGTTTGTTTGTTTATGTTTTTAGCTCACCTGTCACAAAGTGACAGGGTGAGCTTTTGTGATCGCTTTTCGTCCGGCGTCCGGCCGTCCGTAAACTTTTACTTTAAATGACATCTCCTCAAAAACCACTATGCCAATTTCATCAAAACTTCACAGGAATGTTCCTGTGGTGGTCACCTTTAAAAATTGTTCAAAGAATTTAATTCCATGCAGAACTCTGGTTGCCATGGCAACCGAAAGAAAAAACTTTAATTATCTTCTTTTAAAAAATCCAAATAGCTAGAGTTTAGATATTAAGCATGAAACATGTTCTAGTAAGTGTCTACAAAGTTTGTTTAAATAAAAGCCCTGGTGTCAAAACTGGCCCCGCCCCAGGGGTGTCATTGTTTTTAACTATATGTGTATAGTAAAAACTTAAAAAATCTTCTTTTAAAAAAACCCAATGAGCTACAGCTTAGATGTTTAGCATGAAACATCTTCTTATGGGTGTCTACCAAGTTTGTTCAAATAAAAGCCCTTGGTTAAAATTGGCCCTGCCAGGGGTAGGAGAGGGCAGATCATTGTTTTTCATTATAAGTGTGTACATCATGAAACATCTTCTTATGGGTGTCTTCCAAGTTTGTTCAAATAAAAGCCCTGGGGTTTAAACTGGCCCCGCTCTGGGGGCCTACATACAGGTGAGCGACCTCAGGGCCATCATGGCCCTCTTGTTTAATTAGGTTTTACGTCACACCAACATATCATAGGTCATATGGCAACATTCCAGCTTTACTGGTGGAGGAAGACCTCGGGTGCCTTTCCGTGCATTATTTCAGGCATAAACAGGCACCTATGTTCCGTTAGCTAGCTGGATAGTTTCCTCACATGAAAGAATCCAAAGTCCCTGTTGGGAGTCAAACCCCAAAGTTAAGTATGTATCAATGTCCTTTAACATGATTGTAATACATTGTAATGAAATGATTGAAGTAAGTTAGTGCATTTTAACAAGAAGCTGAATTGTTCTAGTAGAAATTGCATGTAGTATAAATGAGCCGTGTCATGACAAAACCAACATAATGGGTTTGCGACCAGCATGGATCCAGACCAGCCTGCGCATCCGCTCAGTCTGATCAGGATCCATGCTGTTCGCTATCAGTTTCTCTACTTGTAATAGGGTTAGTAAGCGAACAGCATGGATCCTGATCAGACTGCGCAGATGCGCAGGCTGGTCTGGATCCATGCTGGTCGCAAACCCATTATGTTGGTTTTGTTGTGGCACGGCTCAAATGATCATCCTTCCTGTGCTGCACTATGATTTTATGTCAAAACTTGAACCTTCTCCACTAGGGATAACCTTCACATTTAATGCCAACATACTGTTAAGAAATAATCATTTTCCCCCTTTATTTCTAATATATAGGATGATTTTGCAATGGCACTGATGGATTTGTTCCTACAAAAAATGGAGGAGAGGGTGGAGCTTACTAGCAGACTGCAAGCTAGACACAGCCAATCTGAGCAAAGCTTACAAATGAGCTGACCAATCACATCATCTGGTTCATGTATAGAATCAAATTGATATTATTTCCATAATGTGCATTCCATTTTTATTTATGTTTCTCATTATCTCATAACCAGATTAATCTGTATCCGTCCATGTGCTATTTTTTGATATTATTGACATGTTAGTAAATTATTCCAAGTACAGTAAAAACCCTCAATGAAGACCACCATTGGGACTGGACAAAAATGGCCTTAATTGTGGGGTGGTTTTAATTGTGGATATTCTTATCATTGTTTACTTACTTTTTGACCTAAGTCAATTTTAGTCATTTTGTATGAACAAACACCTACAAAAACAAGATTAAAGTATGTTATAATATCTAATCTGATGAAAGAAAACATATTTCTAAAGTTTAAATATTAAATTCTCTTTGGTCAGATTTCAATTTTGATTATAATATGATGTACATAATTCCCTATCATATGATGATATAAGAAATTAATTCATTACAAAATGAATTTTCCTGAAAGCAACATTAAACCACAGTGACTCAAAAATTTACTTTCACACCTTATTTCATACAATGATCCAATAGTAACAGTTTTTGACACATTGTGAAATCAAGTGTCATGCCTGAGAGCATTCAAGCAGGTAATAACAACAAATTTGTGATCTAGGTACGTGTTGACTTTAACATCAGTGGTCTTAATAGTGGGTTCAAATACAGAATGAAACATAGATTGGGACTGAATCTGGTGGTCTTATAAGTGGATAAGCAGACTGGCCTTAAATACAGATCATGTAACCATTAACATAAAGAACAGAAAATTCCAATCTTTTAAAAAAAATGGTCTTAATAGCTGGGTGGTCTTAATTCCAGGGTGGTCTAAAGTAGGGATTCTACTGTACACAATTTCTTTCATATTCAAACAAACCAGCCTTACCAGTAAGGCCCCCACGGTTACACGTTTAAATGGATTTGTTTCGATTTTCATTCGTAAACGTTTATGATATTGTTTACCATTTAATCGAAATGACCATATTATCTTACAAATATCTTGATCATTGCCTGTAATCATGGATTTTATCAATTCTTTTTGGTTTATTCCAAAGCAAAAAACGGAAAATGGGTGTTTACAACCCTCCACACAGCATTGCTTTGCAATAATCGCTCGTGACATAATACATGTTTTGTAAATTTGATTTTTCTTTGATCTTTCAAAAGAGAGAAATAGAGATTCAATGCAGAAAATTTGTGCCGACACAATTGTGATGACCCTTGAAAATTATTTGTTTGTTTTGTACATATGTTAAAAATAGAAAGTAAGTCATCATCTGGCGACTCAAATACATGATGTAGTAAAGTACATAGAAATACCACCGTTTAAACGGTATCGTTTCGGTTCTTACCAATCGTGTAAACGTTCACAAAAAATTGTAAACGTGGGAGCCTTACTTACCAGTACTAGTTTTACTCGAGAGATTTTGAACATATATTGCTTTGTTTGAAAGAAAGGGAGTTGTAACCAATTTGCTGAACCAATAGGACACACACAATATGACTGTGATATGTATTTTATATATGTATTTAATGTATTAATTTGATGTATATATGTAAGTACAGTTTGAAGAGTAGAACTGGTGAAAGAACAAAAACTGTATTAAATATTATATTATAGTTTAGAATATATAATTTAATATGTGTAGTCTGTATTGTTTTTTTTTTCAGTAAGTAATTTTTTGCACATTTTATCAAAGCTTTATATTATTATATTCCATTTGTTCTAAACATTAAAATCTGTAATGAATCTCTAGTTTTGATCTTTTTGTATAGAAATTTTGATTCAAGTTATTAATTAATGTGAAATTTTAAGTGATTTTTATTTGTGTTGGGTACGATACATGCAAAATACAAAGTCGATAAATACATGTCTGTTTAGAGTCGACTAAATGTACAACTGAAATACTGGCATTGAACCCAAATAAGCATGAACCAAGATAACGTGAGAGGTAAAGTTATTGAGCAGTATGTATTGTTATACCTAACAACAAGTAAATCTTACCTCTACACAACAAGGCTAGAACTTCATTCTATTCCGTCTAGTTTCTATATGCTTACTTCTGAATGCTAGTATTTTGCTTAAATCATTACCCAAGTGTTAACAGTTGAATGCAGGACCAATTCATTACCTAAAATATTACAAGTATTTGGGTTTAATTGTCTTAATTAATGTTACTTTATATCTTTATTATCAGATGCAAAGTTTGAACAGAACTCTGTAATACATAAAATATTTTCAAATTCTGTAATTAAGAGTGCAAGTCAGTTATGATTGAAAAGGTTTTATGTTTGGTGATTTTCTACTTTTAATTCTGTAGTTATGAAAATAATAAAAAAAAATATTGATTAATAGAAAACATTTTCAGTGTTTTATTTCCCCACTTGTTCAAGTTGGTAACTATGGTTTCCCCTTTATTATTCAATTATATCTTTCACTGTATATCCTGCTGACGTGGGTTGTAGTAAGATCAGTCAAACTTCACCGCAACTCATAATCCAGCAAGCAAGCTATCCAGCTTTCACTTTTAATGTACAGTGTATAATCGAATTAACAACAAAATTGAAATCATTTTAGTCTCATCACTTTAATTCATGGCATACATGCAACAAAGACATAAAGCAAACCAACAGTCATTTAATACAGATTCAAGTTAGATAGTTATAAATTAGCACATGATTCATACCCTCGTTATCAATGTTGGTTCACAGTTGGAAAAGACAATAATGTTTGTGCAATATCACAGTAACAAACAAGAATTTGTAACAGAGTTACCAACATCCCCCACCTCAGGGAAGTTATATGAAGCATAAAATTGTGCTATTTCAAAAGATTGAGGTATGGATCTCAGGACTTTCAGTCCAAAATTATGATGATTGCTAGATCTGCAAAAGCAACAATAAATTTATTAACACATGTAAAGAAATAAAATGAAACACAGAATTTAAAAATCTATCATGTTAAGCTTTGACCTTTAAGCGTTGCCTTTGTCCTTGGAGGTAGGGGTGCAGGTGTTGTGCATGACAAATCATCTAATTATTGTAATTATTTTGCCAAGTTTTTTCAAAATCCCTTAAACTATGAAGAAGTTATAGATCGGACACAAAATATACCCTATCACAGACAATGTTAATCTTTGACCTCTAAGTGTGAACTTGGAGGTAGGGACCCATGTTTTGCGCCTGACATATCTTCTTATTATTGTGATCATTTGTGCAAAGTATTTCTAAAGTCCCTTGATCTAATAAAAAGTTATGGACTGGACACAAAATATATCCTATAACAGACTATGCAAATCTTTGACCTCTAAGTGTGACCCTGACCTTGGAGGTAGGGACACAGGTGTAACGCATGACATATCATTTTATCATTGTGACTCTTTGTGCCAAGTATTTTCAAAATCCCTTGTTCGATGAAGAAGTTATGGATGGGACACAAAATTTACCATATAACAGACTCTGTTAACCTTTGACCTCTAAGTGTGACCTTGGAGGTAGGGGTGCAGGTGTTGTACTTGACATATTGTCTTATTATTTTGACTATTTGTGCCAAGTTATTTCAAAATCCCTTGAACTATGAAGAAGTTCTAGATTGGACACAAAATATACCCTATAACAGTACCATGTTAATTTTTTTACCTCTAAGTGTTACCTTGACCTTGGAGGTAGGGATGCAGGTGTTGGGCATGACACATCATCTTATTATAGTGACTATATGTGGCAAGTATTTACAAAATCCTTTGATCCATGAAAAAGTTATGGACCAGACACAAAATATACCCTGTAACAGACTATGTTAATCTTTGACCTCCAAGGGTGACCTTGACCTTGGAGGTAGGTGACCCGTTGTTGCGCATGACACATTGTCTCATTATTGTGAACAATTGAGGCAAGTATTTACAAAATCCCTTCAAAATTGAGAAAGTTATGGACCGGACACAACATATACCCTCAAATAGACAATGTTGACTTTGAATGAGCAAGTGCAACCTTGACCCTGGAGGTAGGGTTTAGATGTTGTGCATGACACATCGTCTTATTATGACAAACATTTGTGCCAAGTTATTTTAAATTCCTTTGATAAATATTAAAGTTATGGACCGGACACGAAAGTGTGACGGACGGAAAGATGGACTTTCTAACAGGACAGTAATAATGTGGCTACTCTATTGTTCTCTCTATTGTTCTTTTTAGCTACACAAAAGAAAATAGCCACATAAAAGCATTACAGAATGAATGACATCAAAGTGAAAGAACAGTTACCTATTGTCCCTATAGCCACATTATTACTGTCCCGCAAGAGAGGACCGCCAAGTGGAGCATTATATGCCAAAAAGTGTTTTTTTTAATAAGGATGAAGCATTTGTAAGACATGGGAATTTAATAAAGTATTACCTCCTTCAAAAAGCAATCCTCCTTTATAGCTGAAGGAAGAACCTTCATATAAATATATACAGTTGCTGTTTCCAAAGCACCACCATCAAGTTGTTATCTTGTAAGTAAAAAGGCAGAAAGACGCCAGGGATATAACATAATATAAGCAAATTTTTTAGGGCATATAATTAATGTACTCAATATAAGTTATCATCCTATGAAGTTTGACAGTTATAAAACTATTAACAATATTAAGGTCATTTGATATTGACCTTGTGACCCCAATATACATATGGATCTTTTATTCAATATAGGCAATCATCCTAAGAAGTTTGAACACTGTAAGCAAAATGAAACTTGTGTTATGCTCCAGAAGGCAAAATTTTCAGTGTTAAGGTCATTGTGACCCTGACCTTTAATCTTATGATCCTAAAATCAATAGGGGTCATGTATTGGACATGGTTGTTCATCCTATAAAATTTTACAGCTGTAGGTTGATTAGTTCTTCTACTCAATACTGACAATCATCCTATGAAGTTTGAACAGTGTTGGCCAAATGGAACTTAAGTTATGCTCCGGAAACTGTTTTCAGTTTTAAGGTAATAGTGACCTTGTGACCCCAAAATCAATAGGGGTCTTCTACCCAATATGGACAATCATCCTATTAAGTTTGAATATTGTGGGCCAATAGAACTTAAGTTATGCTTCGGAAACCAAATTTGTACCAGAGGGACGGACAGACAGACAGACAGACAGACAGACAGACAGACAGATGCAATGGGGTATAACATAATATGCCAGAGATTATTTCGTGCATATAATAAGATCTTGTATCATAGATCAACAAGATGACAAGAATGATAAATACCTTTTTGTGATTATTTAAGTTCATCTTATTTTAAATATAAAATTTAATAAAATTTAAAATTTAGTCTTTCGTTATGCAATGAAATATTCAAGTCAAGTTATCAGTATGGAGATAGGATTAAATTTTGGACTGACACCCGTAACGTTTTAAAACGTTCACATTTTTTCAAACCCTAAAAGCGGGGTCTGAATTAATGAAGGAAACCCGAAACGTTATAAAACGTGTGTTTTTTCAACAGTCTTAAAAACTGTAACGAAAATCAGCGTAAAAGAATTAAGTAAAGTCTTATAAAGCGTAATTTCTGATAAATCTTACTCATAAATATGTTTCAGACTTTCTTGCGAACGAGGAATATACCGTATACGATATGGTCGTTTATCGTATAATATTGAAAACACAGTCATTTTACGTTATGGGGATAGGTGTTTGTTTGCTGTAAAATAAAAATCTCAGATAATTATTAATGCACATTTTGAAGAAAATACGTTTTAGTATGTTACTGGTTATTATGTAGTATAGGTAAATACGTGTAAAACCGTAAATGAGAAGTTACCGTTAAATGACTGAAACGTAGAATTCTGTAAAAATGATTAATCTAATTAGCAATAATTAATCATCTTGTCTTTAGAAAAATGTCATAAATTAGGTTTTGACAATTAAGACAAACATATCTTCTATAAGGTAAAACATGTTTTTGAAGCCTTATTATTAGTAAAATGGAAAAACGCATGGTTGAAATAAGTTAGTGTTTGTAGCTTACTTTACCTAAAATTGATTTGAACTAAATTACCAATTTTATTATCCAATTATATGTTTAATAAACGATCAGTGACACTCTTAAACTGATATTTATAAAAATGGCATAGTACTTTTAAAAAAACTTGTTTCTTAAAACATTTATTTTATTTACCATATTTTGAAAAATGCTTTGAAAGTAGCTAATGCAAAATAATGTGATGCAAATATTGCTCGGTTTCCTACAACAAAACAATATCCGCTTTTGAGAATAGAAAATTTTTACATGTTTTATTACGTTTTGGGTGTTCTTTCGTAATATAGGGTCGGTTTTTGGAGAAACGAAAAAACCATACGTTTAAATACGTTACTGCCACGGAAAGGATATGAAGTATAATCACAGATATTTTTTTAAAAGATTATTAAAGGAAATCCACAAAAAATCTATCGTCAAAACATTGGTTACATACATATTCAAAAAATAAATCTTGCTGTGCTTCATTTATCTTTGCTTTATCGTTTCTATATCAAGTTTAATAAGTCTTTCATCTTATCTTGCTTATATAAAACATCAAATGTTAGATTCTTATTTGCCAAAGCGCAAAATTCTGTAATCTATAGTGTTCTAGTAAAAACTATGGTTTGATCTACCATGAAAAATAACTTCATTGTTGAATGAAAAAAGGAAGTTAATAAAATGAACAGGAGGTAACATGCTTTTTAAACTTTTTAAAACTGCATATACATACAGGTGAGACAATAAATTTTCAAAGATATTATTTTTAGAATTTTTTTTAAATATGTGTATTGACCTAATAGCAAAGAGTGAAGACGACTAAAGATGAAATGAGCCGTGTCATGACAAAACCAATATAATGAGTTTGCGACCAGCATGGATCCAGACCAGCCTGCGCATCCCTGCAGTCTGATCAGGATCCATGCTGTTCGCTATAAGTTTCTCTACTTGTTATAGGGTTTGTAAGCGAACAGCATGGATCCTGATCAGACTGCGCGGATGCGCAGGCTGGTCTGGATCCATGCTGGTCGCAAACCCATTATGTTGGTTTTGTCATGACACGGCTCAAATCATGTTCCGGCTGATCTTGGTCTGCACTGGTGACGTCTGTTGATTTTAGCAGGCTAAGGGATAATAAAATTTAAATAACTGATGTTTGACTGAACTATCAACTGACTGAAGTTGACTGAACTATCAACTGACGAAAAGTCACTTCAAATAAATCTCATTATCTTTCATTACTGGGTATAATATTTAAGAGAACTGTATTTGCAAACGTGTACTGTTGCTCAGATGAGATTTCTAGTAGTAGAGATTTATTAGTTAGATTGATCATTCCTGTCCTTGAAATGGATGTCGGGTAGTTGTTTCAACTTATTTGCTGCCTGAAACAAAAATAAACAACATGTTATTGGAGTTTTGTTCACAAAGAATATAATCATTTTGTACTTCTTCAGAAAACGAAAACAAG